GTGAAACCGTTGTTTCTGAAATATTTAATTTTATACATCTGTTGCTGTTTATGAAAGATTTTATAAATTTTTTTTTAAAACCGCTAGAAGTTTCAGTCTAAGCTCAAAAAATTAGTTTGGCATTTATTTTGTTTTTGCTTCGAAAAGCATGCTTATTAATCTTTTAGTGGAGTGTCAGCTTTTATTTAACATTTTAGATATTTTATATATAAATCTTATTACCGCCGAGTGTAAGTGTTTTTACGCTATTTTGCTAGTTCATTAGTGGCTATAAAGCCCACGACTCCATGACATATTTAGGAATTGCGCATTGAAACTCAAAAAGCCGTTTCTAGCAATCAATTCCATTTAATGTAATTATATTTGTTTTAGCTAAGTTTGTGGTTAAATTCCGTAAATTTTTTAGGTCTATGCAACTATACAAATATACTAAGCAAAAGCTGAAAATATGCAATTTTACTTGATTACTTTATAAATAATAACTAAGTATTTTCAAATTTATTTTTTAATATTTATAGAAAATAGCAATTCTTAACATATTTTAATATAAATTTGTGACAACATTTTACGCTACTCAAATAGTATATGACGAGTTCCTTGTACAAAGAACAAAATTTGTTAAGAATTTATTGTACTCCTTTTTATTATTTCCTACCACGCTAACTTCCCACAAACTTGCCATTGGTTTCTAATGGGTTTCTCAATTCAGAAAAACACTCAAAATTAAACTTGACCCGTGCAGGTCTAAATAAATTGCGCGCAAATCGTATTTTTGCCTATATGTATTGTTGCAACCTTATTTTATGTTCCTGTAAAGTTTGATCTCCATATATCCGTTAGTGTGCGTTTGGCAACTGTTGGTTTACGCTGCGAAAGGGTCAATTTTGAACTTGAATATATATACCATAGATAAACCAATGTAAATAATTTACCACCGCTTCTCAACCCAGTGTGTTCTTAATTCAACAAGAAAAAATTTCCTTAATGCTTAAATATAAAAAAAATATATATATATTTGTAACTTTTTAAATTAAATAAAATAATTTTAAGTTTGATTTCTGATAGTTTTCGAGATTTGAACCAAGCCTCAGTGATTAGCTACAAAAATTAATTACTTGTAAACAAATTTTACAATGCAGCGCCACTAAAATTAGTTCAGTTATAGATTTATATATATGTATTGTGAACACTTTGAAAAAAAAAAACAAAAAAAACAAGAAAATATTACGCTCTTTTCGTACTTAGTATTTTAATAATTGATAATTGATGTACAACAATAACAAATATATAAATATTAGATCAAATATATTTTATGTAATAATTCTTAGCATATTTTTCTATAAGCAGAGTTAGAAAACACTAATATACACAAAGCAATATCGTGTGAGTTTTTAGGTTATGCTGCTATTGTTTTTAAAGAATTTTAAGTTTTTTACTGCCTGTTTTTACTTGTTAGCTGTAATATTATTTGTTCTTTAATTCCTTTTCCTTAATTTTCATATTCATTAACACAACACGTTTTCACATACTTTTATGTACACACGTGAAATAAGCACGAATTTTCCAATGTAATCACTTGGTATTTTATACATAAAGTTGCATAGTAGATTATTTAAGTGGTTAAATGGGTTTCGTCGAGCTAAAAACGCCCTATTTTCAATAATTTTTTTTTTCATATAAAAAATGAAATATTTTATTTAAACTTTTTATTATTCCAAAGATACATATTTGATAAAGATTTTGTGAAATTTTCAAAGGAAAATATGCAAAATTCGGTCATTACGATATCATTTTCGGCAGTCCCTCGGATAAAAATGTGCTTCCGCGTTGACAGCAGAATTTCTGACAGGTTCAACAAAAGTAAAAAGAAAAAAATACGTATTTGAACTAAGACCATTAACTAGATATTGCACCGAGAAAAAACAAATAAAATGAAAATAGTATTTTTAGCAGATGTTTTTACAAAAAAAAAATTTCTCGACGTTTTTTATTTTTAAATAGCTGTAATTGAACAAAAAAAATCCTTTGCTCCTCGACCTTGTAAATTATATCTCAAAGACCTGTGTAAAATTTCATTAAGATCAGTTGAGTAGTTCCGACTTTGAAAACACAGTTTCGAGAAAAACACGTTTAAAGTTTTAAGTGATAATATAGCTGACCTCGAGCGCGCAACTTTTTAAAGCTGTAACTCCAAAACTATTACTGCGATCATTTTAAGAATTTAGGACAATATTCTAGAGATGTTATAGAAATTAGTAAGACAATAATAATTTTTTTGAAGCCGTGAAACCCTTTATTTACCATATATAGAAATTTAATTGTGCGTTAAAATTGTTTAGGCATTTTTATGCAGCAAATATTTCAAACAATACTAATATGATATTAAACATTAAAATACTTAAAATAATAATTTTTGTAAACTTAACCGATGAAATATTGAAGTTTCGCACACCCGTTAGGCTAGTTTGTACTCGTATGCTAATTGTGTAAAAACACAGCAAAAAAATATCGCGTTTCGTTAAACGAAAATCAGAAAGATGACAAATTATTATTTGAAATGCTGCAGTGGATTGGCTTATAGTTGATGTATTTATAACTCACGAGTAAAGAGCTGAAATTCAAAGTTTGATATGAGTTTATATATTTTGAATAGAACAATGCGAAAGGGTCTGAATTGATATATACTTCATTTATACATTCCTAATGCCTAATTAAATGTGTACAAATCTGTTTGAAAACAATTAGGCGCTATTGTGCAACACATTGCGCAAGATTTCTTCAATCAACACCAACTTCACGTCACAGCCGCTTATAAAATTATTGCTGACTACAATCAACCTCAATCAGTGAATGTAAATCGGATAAATTATGCAGTTAATCGCTACTTAAACTACAATCAACAACCAAAACTCCAAACTGCAATCAACAAACAATATGCAACAATTCAATATATGAGCGTTGTTAGAATGACTATAAATATTTCATTTCTTAGACGCTGAAAGTAACATCATCAGTTCGCCAAAGCTTCATTTACATATACATATATACATAATTATAATATTTACATACTTATGCAATATGATTACACGCACTATTGTACTTCCTTACATACTTACATATTTACATCGAAAAGCAATCTGTTTAAGGCAACTACAAGCATAAATAGCTTAGCTGTAAGCTTAAAAAACTGATAAGTTTGATTTTTTTTCCATAAATGTTCATAAATATTTTAAAGTTAGAAAATTAAAATGTTAGCTATAATTACTGCGATATCAAACCGCTTTCCTTCTTATATTTATCTGGGCAAACTAAAAACAAACTACTCTACCTTGTTCTATGCAGAACGCCAATCTGTATTGCCTACAACTATTCATCATATACCTGGTAAATACCTAGTTGTTAAAATTAGTGTGCATTACAACTTTTTCTATACATTTCTAAATATTTTTTTATATATACTTGAAAATTCTAAACGCTAAATAAAAAACCAAAATGTATATGTGCAATTAGTAGTGTGGCCTGTGGTGCTTTACGAAATGCTTTTCATATTGATACGCGTAATCTTGAAACGTACTTTTGTGTCACTTTAACTAAAGTTGCTGCAATAAATTTATTAGTTAATAACTGATTTACAAACTGAAATACTAAATATTGGTTTATGAAATATCTAGCTACTACGAAAATAACTGTCAGTCAATTTTAAGTTAATATTTTATGTGTTTAGTAGCATTACTTAATTACTATGAAATTGGACCTGAGTAGAAATGTGGCATGACAAATTTTTTGCATAACAAACTGTTTATCTGTGATAAATCTATAATCAGCGCATTTAGGCTAATCGTCAATTATACATACATACGAATATGTGCCAAAAAGTTATTATTGAAAAAAAAAACACACGCTTTGTGCAATATGCTCGATCCAATTTTGTAAAACACTAAATAAACTCTACTTATAACTAAAATGTATCTAACACTTTTCTTCTAACGGGTGTTGTTTTACAAAATTGTATTGTTTAAACTTGGTATTGTTCTCAGCAGATATATTATATAATATAATATATTGGTATGAAGCTTTGGAGTATGAAAATAAAAGTATACTTAAGTTTTGCCCTTTTTATTACAATAATTATTGACGCAAATCCGTAGACAAACTGCTGCTGATACTCAGATAGTTTTGTACTCATGATTTTTTGTTTCAAACGGTTTTTTTTTTTACATTTTATCACATAAATTGTCAATCACATTTGAATATGTTGTACTGCTGCTTGTCCATTTAATGAATTCAGCAATATGGTCTATGTTTTCTGCATAACAAGTGCAAAAGTCATATATGGTTTTATACAAGACACGCTCACTATAATATTTTCAAAAACAAAAAAATATTAATTTATGCAGAAAACTGCAAAATTTAAAAAAAAAAATGATCATTCATGAAAGCGACCCTGACAATTGTAACAAATTTCAACTCTACAGTCTACAATTTGTAATCTTCCGATGTGTTTTCTTTCCTGTCTGTTATTTATATTTACGCTCCACCTAATTACCATTCGGTTTTCTACATATCAAAGCTAAAATCTATAGCATACCAACTATGTTTTACTTGAACAATTTAAATGTGTGCATAAATTTTAAATAATATGGCAAAACGTTAAGAATAATTCTCCAAAAGTTTCATACCAATTATTTGATATTGTTTCAAAAAAAAAAACATAAATTTGTTTGACAAAATCTAACGAAACTATTGGCTAGCATATTTGAAGAGATGTGTACTTAATATTTTTTCTTACCTCGTCCAACTAATAACTGTGCATATATATTTTGAGAGTGATATTTTCACTTTATTTTTTTTACAAATCTAACAACTTTGATCACATTTCTTTAAATTATTCTGCAAACACTACTCATTAATGTCTTAATCAATTCTAAAACACAATTTTATCATATAATCAATTTGTAATTAACATATATAAATTTCAATATCTTTCCACTTTAATTTAGAGCATATCAACGCAATTGCAACACTATTTAGCAGTTATAAAATCACGAAACAGCCCGCCGTCAGTGGCGCTGCAGCACGCAATAGTGGCAGCAACACCACAGTTCTAAACAAGTCCAAATATAAAGCTGGACCGAAGTCTATGCATATGTCGCGTAAAAGGAATGCAATGTCGGAAAGGCGTAAACATTCTACTAACTCGCCACAGTCTGTCTCCAATTCACAATCACCGACAACACGTAACCACTCAACATCACCGGCCAGTTTGCGCGCAAATAGTCCTGTTATTATAGCGCCCGAAACAGCAGCTGATCCGAAATTGAATATGAAATGCGCTGTGATAATGCAAGAAAATGAGAACGTCATCAATTATAAACGACAACAGGTCGCCTTCATCAATGAATTATTGGAGAAACAAAGAGAAATGCAACGGCAGCGTGCACTAAAACGACAAGAGTTCCAGAATATATTGAAGCAAAAACGTGAGGAGGGTAAACGCTTGATGGCGGAAATTTCGCAAATAAAAAAGCAGCAAGCCGCAGCGCACGAAAAGATTTTAAAAACACAGGCACATCAACCAAAACAATCGCCTACAATTTTAAATCGCAAACGATTATTGGTGAGAGAAAGAAATATAACATTCAAAACAAAGACAAAAGTACGCAGCCGTTCTACAACGCCCAATCGCACAAATAATCTGGAAAATGTTGCAGAGACGGCTGATGAAGGAATAGATACAGCAAGCGCTGCTATAATACAAACAATGATAGGCGACACTTTTGAATTGGCGACTGAAGCTATGCCTTTAAGCGATGGCGCGAATAGAACTTCTGCCGCATTGAAAAGTATAAAGGCTACACAGATGCAAGACAAAAAATCTACCACTTCAATACGTTCGACAACAGGTGCGACAAATGCAGAGGCAAATACATTAACGAACTCAACAAAATGCAGAGTACCGAGTACATCGTCAAATACATTAACAAAGTTAAATGCAATTGAGCAAGTTAATTCAGCATTACAATTGACAGAAGAAAATAGCAATGAAAAGCAAAACACCGACACTTCAAGTAAAGCAATAAAAACTAATATAACGGCAATATCAACACAAACCATGAAAAGCCTGCAGAAAGCTGAAGAATTGACAGGCATGGAAATACCGAGCGCAGTGTTGCCATTGACAAGTAAGACGAGTTTCAAACCCGAAAACCCGAAAATACCGGCATTACTAGCATTAGCAACAACAACACCGTATAAACGTTGTGCTAGATCAATGACACCCACACGTGGAGATTATGATACGACGAAGCAGTCCGAACTGCATACAAAACGTATTACAGATAATTTGTTAGTTAATTGCTCATCACCGTTATCTACACCCACCACATCTAGAACACGTCTACAACGTGCACCGTCATTATCACCGTCAATATTCATGAATCGCAATCGTGTGGAAGTGCGACGTAGCATGCAAGATCCCACTAGTAATACCGACTTCACTACGAATAGCACATCTTGGTTGCTGAATGCTTCGCCGCGCACTTTCAGCAAAACATTAAAAGTTCGACTAAAACGTTTACAGCATATAAATATGTTGCCTACAACCGCAAATTCACCTGAAAAGGAAACAAACGATAAAATTTCAATGCCAGCGTCTGTCATGCCAACTCTCTTAAGCGAATGTGAGGCGCGAACAACACATACAGTTGCTAACGCGCTCAATGAAAATATAGGGATCGCAACACAAGAATGTCAAATTAAAAATAATAAGCGCAAGCGCGTGCAATTATTGAAACAACAGCTCAAAAAAGAGTTGCATGAATTGGGTAAATCATTTGTTAGGCCAGTCGACGCAAAAGCTGAAAATACCTTACGTCTGCTGTCAACTAAGGATATAGCATGTAGTCAAGCCACGCAAACAGCTGAAGAGCGCATTAACAAAGGAGCACGGCGGAAGCACGCAAAAAAGGTGCAACAAAATAGCAAAAAGTTAAAGCGCTTAGAAAAAGTCAACAACGATCAGCATACAAATAAAATGCAAACCGATTTGACGATTAACAACAGTCCATCTGATAATGCTGTTGTTGTGTGTGATAGTAAAGATGCGAAGACAGCGAAGAGCGATGTTGAAGACGACTTACAATGTGATAGAAATCAAGAAACGAAAGAAATAATTGGTGAGACGTTAGCAAATGTTAACAATGATCTATGTCCAAGCAGTAGGCAAATAACTATTGAGTCTAGCGAAACTGTCGTAGAGCAAGCGTTAGGACAACATAGTGAAAATAACGCAAAACATCAACAGTTTTCAATAGAGCCTTCGAATAGCGATAAAAATGCAATTGAAGACATTGAAATTGCAACTGCGCAGAAAGAACCCGCCTCAAATAACTCTATGAGCATTAATTGCGACAACGTTATGGATAAAAAACACAAAAGAACTCATAAACACGGTGCGATCGTTACCCAAGTTGTAGATGTTACACCTGGCCGGCATGTTAATGATAATCTTTTGAGCGATTTATTGCTAGTCGCAGCTGCAAACAATTCAGCGGTGTTAAATAGTAATGCCGTCTTGAACACAACTGCTAGTTTAGCTTTTATTGAACCGCCTGCTGCAGAGTTACCAATTCCCCGCAAAATTACGGAAACTTGTACAAAACCGACTGTCGAACCCACTTCGGTCGTCAAGCCGAATAATTTACTGCCGGAAATACCTAACGGTGCTAGTGACAAAACGCATGTTGAGATAGCCGATGAAATGGCGGTGGCTGTGTCGGGTCTTGCAATGTTGGCAAATAGACCGTTAACAACAATAAATACCGAAAACTGCAAAAACGCGCCTGAATTCCAAAATGAAAATGTGGACACAATCTTTCCAAAGAAAATGTCCAGCGAATCAATTTCCTCTGACATGCAATGTGTTGCTGAGCCAACGACTGTGATTGGTTTGTTAAACGATACTCGAAACCATACAATAACCACAATCGACGCGCATGCAACCACTGATGAAACAAAACAAAGAGTTGTGGAAATTCCCAATGACATTGTTGCCCTGCCAAATGATAAAGGTGACATAACAGATGGTGAGGAGTCTAGCAGTGATTGTTTGTTGTCGCAATTGTCAAAACGTGTACATAAAATGTCCGATTTGGAGAGTATTGTCGATGCCACCACTGTGCATGTGATTAAGGACGCCACCATGACGCTGATGAGTTTCGAAGCCACGCCAACTTTGCCAGCTTATTTGCTTAATGGCGAAAGTCGTGATGTGCCCACACCACCAGCTATAGCCACACCCGCGCCGACCCCTGCACCCACACCCACTGCCGATTTATACGCGGAGACTGAGCAGCCGAAGTCTGAACCGACACCACCATTGCCTGAACTAATGATCAAAGAAAATGCGCATGCTCCAACACCAATAGATCCTATAATAAAAGAACATTTAACTACACCAAACGACTCAACAGATGCAATGGTTGCAATTAAAGTACCCGAACCAGCGCAGGAGAACATGAGCTCATTAGCAGATGCACCCTTACAAGCTCAACAAGCGATAATTAATACTGACGAAGGTTTGTCTAATAATCATTTGTCAGCACCATTGACGCAAGAACAACAACAGTTTGAATTAGAAGTAAATTCACCGGCGCCGGCAAGTGGTAAGCTTTTATTTGTTATGAAAAGTTTTGGTATTTTTACATAGATCATTAAGCATGGAAAGTCAATAATCCGAATTTAGAATTTTGTTATACCATTTTATCCGTACTGACGAAGCAGCATTTTCAAGCATTTTAATACAAATCTTTATTATTACCTTAAAAATAAGCTCCTTTTGAGCCAATATAAGCCTGTCAACGCTTAATCCAATTTTTTATACATTCATTATAAGCCTTGGCGGGGATGGCCATCAGTGCCGCCCGTTTTACGAAGCGTATTTTTAAGACAAATATCACAGTAAGCCTGGCGAATCTGGTGGCTGAGCGATGGCTCTCGTTTGATGTTTGCCAAAAAGTCAGTCAGAATCGTGCTAGAATGTCACGGCGCATTTAGGTTATTTGGTACGAGTCTATCATTACCGCGCTTCATACCCAAAACATTAACCAAAATTAGTTGATTCGATCCATAAGAGATGTTGAGGTCCTCTGCTATCTCTCTGATGCCAACATGACGATTTTCAAGCACGGTTTATTTAAATTTTTCGATGTTATCGTCATTAACAGTGGTGGATGGACTAGACTCGCCAAAAGATTTCTGTAACATTTTTAACGAAATCCATTGGAAACAAAACATTTTAAGCAAACTCGTTGCTAAAGTTTTTCTTTATGGAAAAAATTATCAGACAAACATTTGGCATCGTAAACAAAAACACACTTAATTGACATATGAAGAACAAACTTTACACAAACATAAAAAAGGTAATAACTATCTATAAAAAAATTGTGTCGATTTAGTTTGCGCACGTGGTTTAACCCTTATGTTAGTAACCAACTTTACCGACGTCTTTTAGCAACCGGGTACCGTGGTACCACGATCTGAGTATTATTATTAAATTGTTGATTTTATTAAATAAAAATTTTAGAAAAAAATTCTTCAAATATTAATCGTCAGTGACAATTTAAAGAAAAAATAAATAAATAACAATGTTAAAAAAAAAAATTAAAAAATAACAAATAAATGAAATATTGAATTTTTTTTAAGCTATTCACACAAATACACCGCGGTGGGTATCCGCGTACCCGGTTACTAACATAAGGGTTAAATGGACCAGGCAAGTTTGATCAGAAGTAATAATTCGTTCGTGTCTATTAGAATGTTTCATTGTTGTATTGAAAAATGTTTAATACTTAAGTGTTATTAGAGAATTATTAAATTCACTGCCTAATTTGTTCATAATTTCCCCCCTTACAGCAATATCGACCTCAGATCATGAAGTATCTTCAACCCAAGAGATCGTTTATACACCAACAAAACGTTCTAATGCTAATACACTCAATAGCACCGCCGGTATGTCGATACCAACACCCAACGAAGAAGAGGCAGCCATGTTAGTGCAAAATAGTCAAATAGATACGACACATCACCTGCCAGAAAGCTCATATTATATGCGCAAGCGCGCACGTAAATTTTCAGATGAATTTACTTTGAGTGAAAATAAGAATGAAAATTCCGCTAAAGACATAATGAAGCAAAGACGTAAAACGTTCTCCTCTGAATCATGTCTACCCGCACAATTTTCATCGAATCTTACAACATTTACGAAAAACAATAACGAACTCACGAATAGCAGTGCAACAGCTGGCACAAGTAACGGCATAAATAATGGTGGCCAAAACAGTGGTGGTAGTTCACCATCTACCACCACTGAACCAGTGACTAAGCACGCGCCAGCACGTCGGCGCAATCATCAACAAAAACGCAACAATTCACAATCACCGCTAACTGCGCGTAGTCGCGCCGGTGGCAGTGCGGGTGAATTGAATGGCAGTTTTGTTTATAGTTGCAGCCGTTTACAACCTACTAACGTAGATATGGCGGATGTGGAACATTGTGTGGTGCTGCCAGCGAGTGCTGTTGTACCACCAGTAAATTTGGGTAACATTGCGCGTACATATTCGAAAAATAACATAGCCCAGATTAAGGTGTTCGTACCACCTGAAGTGGAAATGTGTTTGGAAAACGAAGATGCAGAAAAAGACGCCACTGTAGCGACCACCACAAGTAAACGTGGTCGTCCAAAAGGCGGCATCATAAATCGAAGTCGAAAACAACCAAAACACGAAACAGCTGAAAAAGTAAAGGCGAAAAAGACCGCTACAAATATAACGAAAACGAAAACAATGCAATCCTCGAACAAGCGCGATACTGCTGCTGATAGTCGTCCGAAACCTGCGGATAGCAAATCTTCAAAATCAACAACAAGCACCAAGACACCGACGCGTTCGAAGCACGTAGAACGCGCATCTAATCGTAAACGGAAATAACATATCAATTCAAGTATGTCGACACGTTGTAGCACTGATGACGCTGATAATTATGATAGTGATTATGTTGTCAAAAATTACGGAAATATTTCGCCGTGCTCATCTTTGCAGTCGTCTGAAAACGAACGTTTACACACACTGCGACCACGTCTGCAGGAGCAGTTGCAGCGCATGGTGCTAACTGAAGATCACTCACTACATGAGTATGAAATTGAGGACGCCGAGCGCTTAAATGTGTTTGATATTGCTCAAGATAATAATATTGTTGACTCGAAATGGAATGTGCCGGAAATGCAACCAATTGTTTTGGTGCAACGCATTTGCTGGAGAAAGGGTGTATACAGCGATTAGTGGATTAGTAAAGTTGGTTTCTTTATTATGTTTTATCTGAATGGGAAATATGTTGTAGAAGTTTAATTAGGGCGTATAATTATAACACGTTCCAATGTTTTGTACATGTGAACATTTTCTGTTAATTTAATTAATTATTAATTATTTGTATGTAAATTATATATATGTATATGAATATGTAAACTTAAAAATATAAAAAAAAATTGTAGAATGTAAAAAGTACTGCCAGAAACAGAATATATGTTTATATACACCCAAAACAATACTAAAACAGTCATACATACTAAATGCATAAAAAACGAATAAATATGAAAAATAGTGGCAATGAAGGTAGTGTGAAATTTGTAATAAAGTTTAAAAGAAAACAATATATGGCTTGTGTAAATGCGGCAGTCATGTGAGTTGTGAATAGCATGGCAAATATTCGTAAAAATCAAACCAATATATACATGCAGATTTTTGCAGAAATTTCATTGATTTTAATAAAGCTACTTATTGTACAATTTTAAACTAATTTGCTGATTAAGAACGCCAGACTAGCATGGTGTATAAACCAATTGTAATATATGTAAAATTGTAGCGTTATGTAAAATGAAAATAAAGCATGTATATATGTATACGCGTATATATAACAAATTTATATATTGTTAAACTTTTAGTTAAAGATTTTGAATAATTGTAATTTAAGTTTGTTTTATATTTATTTTTTTTATATTTTAAAAAAGTGGTAGTATTGTTTCTAATTAAATTTCGAATATACGTACATAATTTCTTAGCCGTTTATACTTATGATATTCATTTAGAATTGAAGTAAATTTAATTCCCATGAAATATTATGAATTAGTATTTCGGCAGTAAATTCGTTAACGTTTCCTTAAAAGATATGAACAACAATGCCTTTACACGCGACTATTTCTCTCCAATATGGTTATTGTTTCTAAACAATATTTTTCTAACAAATTGCATTGATATCATTAAACTTATGAAAAAATACAGGTTAATTAATAATGAAAACGATAAATTGTGTAATAATAGATATTTTTATAAAAAAAAAATCGATATATATATAATGTATATTTTATTGTGTTAAATATGGCAGCTCAATTTCGAAACTAGAATTGTAATGCAAAAAATAATAAATAAGAGGAAAATACTATAAAAGGTTTTTTTGGCATCGACAAATATATGTACATACATACATTTGCTTAAATGCATATGCGACGGTAAAGAAACTTATTATATAATATAACTCAAATTTATTAGTGTTTGAAAAAAATAATTATATATACATATATAAGTAAAAAGCAAATAGATTTGCGCATATAGCGTATTATAAGTGGTACAAAACGTCATTCAATATATCTATATATATAAATATAAAACGTGTAAAATAAGTTATTGCACGATATATGCATATAAAAAAAGAAACTATTTTACGTAAATGAAAATTACATATGAAAAAAAAATTTATTTTACATATATGTATGTATGTAGGTAAGCAGTTAGATATAAGCTATTGGAGTACCACACGAAAGAAAATACTACCACAGAATTTCTTAGCACAACGTAAAAATTATTGTTTGTAGCAAAAATTTAATTTCGGTAAAAAATCTTAAGATAAATTTAATATTAAAATATATATTACATATATATATATGTATGTAAGCGCATACATGCGTATATATTATAATACTGTTTTCGGGTTTATCAAGTCGTTGTAGCTGATAATTTAGATTTATAATAGTTTTAAGCGTCAACAGGCAAGCGTGCATTGTACACATACAATTTGAAAATATGCCAAAATGGTTTTTTATAGAACAGATTGTAAATCACACAAAATCAACAAAAAGTAAACAGAAAAATCACGAGAAAAACACAAAAAAAAAAAGATTTGTCGACATTATTGTTTTCAATTTTTTTTTCGTAAGAGGAAACGAGCACCGTAGTAACACAATCTTATACCATATAATTGAAACATGATGTGTATTAATTTCAGAAGATGATTGATATAATATGTATACTTGTATGTCTCTAATAATAGAAATATGATAAAAAAATATATATTTAAAAAACACTGTAATTAAAAAAGCAATAACGAACTAACATTTTCCCAAAGTCTTCGAAGCACAGCACTCTATTCTGTTATTTCATGTCATATGATTATTACACATATAACAACATACGTACATAAATATTAGAAAGCCGTGACGTCTTTTATTGTGCAATCTTGGTGAAACACACAATAAAAATAAAAATGAACGTTTTGATGGTGAAACGCTGGTGGGGGCAAAATAAAAGATTTAAGATGAAATATGATTTAATAAAATATATATGTATTCAAAATATTAACAACCGTACAAAGCCAAATATTTTAGAGGATATAACAATAAAACTGGTAATATAATATTTCCTTAAAACAAAAACACGAAAAAGTTTGCTCCAAAGCGTTAATCAAGCGGTGCAAAAAAAAAAATTAATTGAAACATATGACAAAAAATTAAATAAAAAGTTGCTATAAGAAAGCCAATATGACAAAAAAACAAAAAACAATAATAATAACACTCATTAAATTTATAAACACACATGTAAAATAATATTTTTATTATTCTACTTTGAAATATATATTATTATTTTAAAAGGTCTTTTACTTAAAAAATCACTTTTGAATATTATTTGCGTTATAATATTTGTAAAAGCAACGTTTGCTGGCAGTAATAACTTTGCAACTTTCTTCCCTTAAACGTTTCCTTAATTTGATTAATTGAAATGCACAATACTACATAGATACCTTAAAGTAAGTTACAAGTATATTGTATCCCGTATTAGTTTACTATAAAATTTTTTCCGTTGTTACAATAATATATTGTATATGAAAAAAAATATTTGAAACAAAAAGCAGTAGCGCATATATTTTGTTAAAAACAATTCGATTATTGATACAGAAAGTCATAAAGGGTGCATTTGTATTTATTAAGAAATAATTGCAATTTAAGTAAATTTCGTTATTGCTTATATAATAAAAATGCCTTGCAAAATATGTATAATTATATTCAACGGGAAATAGCCAAAAAAAAAGAGCAAATATAACAAACAATAAATAAGTGCATTTTATTACAATATTATGAATATATTTAATTGACAATTTAAAGTTTATTGTAGCTAAAGCAGACACTAACAATTATTGTGTATATTATTAATACGCCAGCAATTTATTAGTGTATTTATATTACGTACGCTTTATATAAATGTACACATACCTTATACATTTATATATACCTATAACACTATTAAGCTATGTGAGTTATTTAAGTTTATACATTTTGACAAACAAAAAACACCCTATTTTATTTTGTTGTTATTTATTGTGATAATTTCTAAATTAAAGTTAAATCTTTGTATTTTACTAAATATTACAATGTAAAGTAAATATAAACTATCCAGAGTATTTTAAAATTTTTAACCATGTTTTTTGTATTACACATTGAATGAGAAGCTGTTTCAAGGTAAGCGTTACTGTTGTTGCATTAAATATTTTAATTATAAGAGAAAACTATGTATCTTAATAGGCGTTAGAATTTTCAAAAAATCTATTTTTATTTTCTTTTTTTTCTTCTTAATGTACATATATTTAAGAATACACACAGAAAATTTCATATCGTGCCGGTGAATATTTTCGAAGTTACACGCAAATTTGAAAAGGCGTTGCAGAGTCTTTTGTCCCATGTAAAGTGCATTCTAAACTTTAAACTCGTCATTTTTAGAATGGTGTTTTCAAAGTCGGTGACCAACATTACTCGAAAACGGTTAAACCGATTAATCTCAAATTATAACACGAGCTTCTTAAATATATTTTTTTAGTAATTAACCGAAGATTTTTTCTAACAAATTTTTAAATTCCATCTGATTCTTTCACTGTACAGGATACAAATCGAGCATCAGTAATGTTATTGGGGTAAAACTTTGCACAAATAGTGTCCTCAAGGTATTTAATCTAACGCTGAAAAAATGTCAAAATCGAACTATAACTTTTTAAGAACCCAGACAACAAATATATGGACACCTGTGCATATGGCTGATTTTTTACCGAACATATCGATTAGTCTATGAGTTACTAGTATTGAAATTCGGGGAGAATATTTTTGTGATAACAGCATGCCATTGTGCCAAAGATGTGTAAAATCGTGTTAATACTTCCCTTAGCCTCCAAATACCTAATATAAATATTTTCGAATTTAAGGTGGACTTTATACCGCATCTATCGATTAATATGTAAGAAATCTTAATGAAATTCCGAAAGCATCTCTTTCTAATTGTAGTGTATCTTCTTGCCTGTAATGTTGTAAATAATGTATGCACTACTTACTACGTTCAACTAAAATATATATCACTTTACCTTGCGAGAGTGAAAAATGTTCGGTTACACCCGAACTTAGCACCTCCTTACTTTTTTGTTTTTTTTTGTTTCTTTAATTTATTAATTTCAAAGTCTGCAGATTGCTTTCAATTTTAAATGATCAAAATGTACAACTTATCAGCCACAATTTAATATATCTATTTGCTATATGTTGGTACTCAAAAGTGTTCTTTCATACAAGTACATACTATTTTGACATTTTACACATTTATTGTACTCTTAATAACGTTATACTTACCCCTTCTACTATCTTCAAAGCTATGTAGCGATATATTTACATATATAATAATATGCAAAATATCGTTGTTTTTAATGAAGTAATTTTTAGTTTATTTATATAAGCTCAAATTTACACATATACAGTTACATTTGCATTAACTACATACATGTGAAATAGTGTACATACTGTGTAACAAAATATTTGGTCAATATAAACCGACAGTTAATTAGAATTTTGTGGGAATGTATGTTTATGGTGCAGCATAATACAGTCTAACACACACCTATAGATATCTAGTAATAAAAAACTAATAAATATATGAATTTCTTTTAAAATAGTCAAAATTTAGACGACACGACACACGAAATATTAAAAAAAAAAAACAGTATTATATTTGTATGTATGTATGTATGCATATACAGATGTATGCCAGAAGTAGCCAAGTTAACGTAAAATTTATTCGATTTGTGTTAGGTTTCGGAAACAGTCTATTAGTGTATTTTTTTTATTATAAAGTTTTCTTTTATATTTGTATATTTTTTTCCATTTTTGGAAGATATTCTACAGCGTTAGCGCTGGCTAACTATGAGCAACACGTTCAGTCACATGAATTCATATACAAATAGCAACGCTGCCGACAGCATAGGCGATGAAAGCATTGTGGCGACGATTATTATTAGAGTAGTAACCAGTTGCAGTGACATATATATGTATACAATTAACTAGGTATAGTTATTATGTGGATTAAAATCTGTTTCCGCTGTGCCGCCATCAGTGCCGTTTGCAGCAAAATGTTGCGCATCTCGCTGTTGTATCGCTGCATTTATAGCCTCTTCGGTCACTGCGGCTGCTGCGATGGCAGCAGGTGATAACGGCATCAAACAGCACGCACCCGCAACATCGCCACACTGATCGGCGTTAGTGGGCTTCTCGTTATTCTTTTCAAGTTTATCAACATTATCATTCGGATTTTCTTTGTTTACAAGTTCGTTTTCATGCATTAATGCGTTAGTTGCCAGATGCTCTGCAAATGTGTTATCAAACAAAATGTTGCTGGTATTGCTGCTACTATTAGCGGAATTTTGATCAGCTTCCGCCAAGTCTTCGTCGTTGTTTTCTTTATTGCTAATACTGTTTCCATTTTCTTGCTGCTGTTGTTGTTGTTGCGCTTGCTGCTGATTTGCCATTTTATTGCGAATGCGTGGTAACTCTAGACTAGCGCTTGACGCTTCCGAAGTACCACTTATGCATAAATCGTCGCCTTGTCGCCACTCACCTTCGGAACGTGCGCCTGGAAAAATGCCTTCCAAATAATTTCGATACCATTGCAAGAACTCGTCACGTTGACGTGGTGCGCAGAGTTTTTTAATTCTCATATAGAATTTCTTAGGCGAAATGTGTGGCGCAGCAGTGGAGAGCGTTTTATGGTTCACAAGCGTTGGTGCAAACTTTTGCACTGCGCAGGCGGTCAACTTAGCGATTTCCACCAACACAGTGTCGTTAATTTGAGTGTTAACATGCGTTTGGTTATGTATACGTGTTATTATGTATGTGATAAGATCATTGCTATATGTTGGACGTATATTGCTGCCGCCACTGGCGTGCTGAAATCAAGTAAAATGAAATTTAAATTAATAAAAATTAATTTTTTTTCCACAATTTCTTGTTTTATGAAATACTAACCGGCATTGCTTCCGCATCACCGCCGGCACCACTGTTGTTGACAGCATCTGAACGATTTTTGTGTTTATTGCTGTTAGCTATCATCGATTTATTGCTAGTATTTGATTCTGCTTGACTAAACACATTTTGTCGCCAACTTGGCACTGTGTTGCTATCTGTGCGTCCGTTGCTATCAGACAATTTATGCTGTTGCGTCTGACTAAGCGCTGTTGCATCGCTAACTGTCACATTATTAATTGTATTATTGCTGTTGTTGTTGTAACGCATATCATCCTCCTCCGGTTGTTCGCTTTCGCCTGCTTGCGGTACGCTTGGTACGTGGCCTGTACTGTTGTTGATGTTCGCCATTGCCTCCACTAACGCTGCTGCGGCATCCTCATTGTCCGCTTTGTTGCTTTCTGTGTCAGCATTATTTGCTCCATACTCGTCTTCCTCTGCATTCTCTTGCAGAGCAGCTGCTTGCCGATTATTTACATAGGCGTTAACTGGAGAGATTGGCAAAGCGTGTTGATCATCCTCAGCGGCAAGATCATCATTGGATTCATGTTTGAACGCATAAGAGTTGGCTGGTGCCGTTCGTCCAGCGCCAAAGTTACCAGACAATGTTAATGGATTCTGTTGTTGTTCTTGCTGTTGCTTATACTGTTGCAAACGTTGCTGTTGCTGTTGATTGCCCATGCGCGCATTCAAATTGAATTTACGCGTTGGATCGCGTGGTAATGAAGTTGCGCCCAATAAATCATTGGACTCTTCATGCTCGTGAGCAGAACTGGCCGTATTTGTAGCGGATAGACCAGCGCAAACTTGACCAACATTACGCACACAATTGCTCTCAGCTGACTCTTTCTCTAGCAGCATGCGTTCGAGGCGACGGAAAACATCTTCTTTTATTGACTCATAGAATTTGGTAGTGAATTTATCATTCTTCAAAGCATTAACAAGTAGATTTCGTTTAATCTCTTCAGATGTGGTATCATCGTCCTCCTCATCATTTAACACGTCTATGTCTACGTTCAGGTCCACGCCAGCTTCGCCTTCAGTTTCAACTTCACGCTCAGCATTCTCGTTATTAATATTAGGCGTATTATTAATAATTCCATTGGTGTCCATTAACTGCAATCCATTAGTGTTCGGCATGTATGGCGAGTTATATGTGGTTGCTGTGCTGCCACCCACTGTGGCGGGCAAAACATTAATAGCGTCGTTATGATCAGTGGTCACAGTACGTAGTAAAAGATCGACACGTTCACGATTCCGTAATTGTGCCTCTGCTGCAGCTACCGCCTCGCTAACCGAGGCTGGTAATAAATCCTGATGCTGCGCCTGTGTGTAATCAGCCATGTTTCGTAAGGTTGGCGGTGTCGTTGGATCGAGCTGTTGTTGTGCGCGTAACAACTGCTGTTGTTGTGATAGCATGCGTTGGTGTTGTTGTTGTTGCTGCTGTTGCTCTGATTGCATTCTATTCGGATTGTGATGATCCATGGCTTCGGCACCACGACAATTTGGCTTTGTCAACAACTTATTGCGCTGATAATGCGGACTATTGCCAAAGTTGACATTCATGTTGCGCAACATGTTGCTCGAATTCGAACCCATATTGCTGCTCAAGTGTGCATAGGGCGCGGCCAAATCACTGTCAATAATATTGTACGTATCGTAAACATCAATATCAACATTGTCGGTGTCGGTATTGACTTCGGTGCAATTGGTGGCGTTCGCAGCAGCGCCGGCTGGCGGTAGCCAGGACGATTGGTATAAGTTGTTGTTATTGGTGTATAATGAATTCGGCAGTCCAACATTTTGTTGTTGTTGCTGCTGATAGCGATTGATATGCGAACGCTGCAACGTGTGCAAATACTTATTATCGTTCGCATTGCGTTCGAAATTCAAATTGTTGCAACTATTGCTATTACTACCGTCTACGGTGCGATACAACTGTGGCTGCGTTTGTGCTGCGCGTTGCTGTTGCTGTTGGCGTTGCTGCACCGCTTCTTCACGCTGCTGTTGCTGTCGCTGTAATTGCTGCAAATTACTCGTGGTCAACGCTGCAGGCAATGTTGTTGTTAATGCGCGGTGATGGGGCTGTAATTGCGAACGATATTGCGTCGGACCACGCCCCTCAGTTTGTTCCATTACGCGTTGTTGTAGATATAGTTGATGTTGGTGTTGTTGTTGTTGGTTCTGCTGCTGCTGCTCTTCATTGCTCTTATTCGAATTAGTGGAAAGTAAATTTTGACGCGAATAACTAAATAGTAAATAAATGAAAAAGGGAAAAAGCATTTGCAATTTGTTTTTGTTAGTTATTTCAAACAAGCATTAGTGATTAGCGTACAAAAAAGGAATATAAAAGAGTTAACCTGCAACAATTTTTAATACATTTTTTTATAATATCTGTGTTAATGACTATGTAACTATGTAACTAGGGTGCCCGTAATTTCTCTAGTTTCAGTTTTTGCCCCAAAAGCAACAAGCCAAAGTAAGCAAGCTCTTCATTTTCAACTTGAACCGTACATAAATCATTTTACTTCTTGCATATATTTTATATGGAATTTTTTGATATTTTGCAATAAAATTGTTATCACCAAAGCAGATGAATTTACATCTTTGATATTCTAATACTAAATTTTCGGCTCCACAAAAAGGATAACCTTTAAAAGTTATACGCAGTTAAAGTTATGCACCAAATGTACTGTATTCATATAGTACACCATGTCGTATGAGCAACACCTTTAACTGCGTATAACTTTTGGAATGATTTTAAAAAAAACAGTTATTAAGAAATTTTTTGTAGAACGTAAAATTTTGTACCAGAATATATATATCTTTTTCAAAGTTGTACATTTTTGAAAAAATCAAAAAAATAAATACAATTTAGGCACGGTTCAAAATGAAAAAAATTAGCTGTTTATGTTGGATTATTATTTTTAGAGCTAAAACTGAAATTTCAGTGGGCGTTGCAAAAAACACAAAAGCAACTTGGGAAATAACGGACAGCTTAATGTGGCATATTGAGCAAAATAATTTTGTACGAGCTACATATTTTCTTTAGGTATACTTATACGATAAATAATTGGATTTGCTATTATCGTAAATACGATATCACGATTATATATTGATATTTGTAAAAAAATTACTAAGAAAAATGTTAACTTTGTATTTCGAAATAAACTTGGTAAACTCAAATAATAATATTATATAACGTGTGGTGGAATCCAAATCAAGCTGCGAGTATTAAAATATGGCATGCACAAACTAAATTAATATTTTATATAATAAAGCAGTTAATATTCAACTGGGTTTAATGTCATAACTCAACTGAAACGAAAGCTTTTTAAAGCGCACTCGTGTTTTAGACTAATAGAAGCGTTTAATTATTACAAATATTCATAAAAAAAATAGTGCGCATCAACTGTGGTGTTAGTTGCATAAAATATAAATATAAAAAAATTAATCCCTCATTGTGCAAGCAAACTTACCCACACCTTCAATAGATACTTTTCTTTTTGGAAAATGAAATATAATTATATTTAAATGTGCTGCACATTTTTTTATTGAAATAATCGATAAATAATAACTGAACTAATTTTTATACAATAAAAAAATCAGCCATAACAAAATATATAATATAATTGTCATTTAGAACTAATCAAAGAACTAATAGCTGCTAATAGTAAGAAATACGTTTTATGTAGTTTTATAAATAAATTTATAGTGCGAATTTGAAGAATGCGTTAAAGTTTTCTTTTTCAAAGTTTTCAATAGACGGAAATTTGGATAGATTAATAGATTACAGCAGTAGATACAATGAATAACCAAAAGTTGCCTAACAAAATACAAATATAAGTATAAAGTTATAGTAAATGTGCAAAAGTTGGTGAAAAAATGTAAAATGAATTGCACCGCAATAACGTTAATAAAGTATAACAACCCAGTACCCTTGATATAGTATAAACTACAATACATGGTAATTCAAAGAGAATTGTACGCAATTTTTTCTACTTCAATGCATCGAAATTACCTTCGAAAATTGTCCCAATAATTGTTGGCGCGATTACCGGGTGGCACTTGATTATTCAATGTATTACCTCCGCCAATATTGACGTTACTATGACCATGTTGTTGTTGCTGTTGTAGCTGCTGCTGCTGATGCAAATTGTTAGCATAGTGATTTTGTGTGCGCAAATTGGCATTATTTTGATGTATAGCGTTGTTATGATGATGCATAAAAATTGGTCCTGGTCCAGCGGCATTACCCTGCAGTGGTGGTGATTGCGGTACTTCATTGTTGTAATGTGATGCGGCCTGATTGGGTGGTGGTGGTGGTGGTGGTGCGGCGTTATTTAAAGTGTTATAAAGGCCGGCGTTGGTACTGCTAGCGGCCGCAATATTGCTGTGTTGTGTTTCGCTGCTAAAAGCTGTTGCGATGCGACCATGTTGTTGATATTGTTGTTGCTGATGACGTTGATAGTTGGAGAATGCGCTATTTCGTGTAGTTGTGCTAAGACCGGGCATGAAGAGCGTTGGTTGCTCAGATTGTGCACGATTTGTGCTGCTCAAATAAAGATTGTTTGGCAATGTGCCTGTTGTGATGCCGGGCGGTGGCACCGATTCTGCACGCAGTGAGTAGGGCAAATCCGTTAATGGTATAGCGTTGACGTTGCCGGTTAATGCAAGTAAACGCTCCTGTAACTGTAGATAATTGTGATATTGTTAAGACATCATATTTTAACTAAAACACAAAAACAAACATTAACTTCGGTTGCTCACAAATATAAAATATTACATAAAAAAACTTGATATTGTTCCGTGAGTTTGTATGGCAGCAGGAGATTGTACCGTTGGATTGGACAAAAATCCATGCCAAATTTCGTGTAGACATCTTATCAAATAAAAGTGTGTTTCATACAAAGATTAAATTTTGATCGTTTACTTTGTATGACAGCTATATGCTATAGTGCTTCTATATCCGCGGTTCCGATAATAAGCAGCTTCTTCGGAAGAAAAGGAGTTATGCAAAATTTAAAACCGATATCTCAAAAGCTGAGGAACTTGTTCGCGTATATACAGACAGACGGACATGGCTAAATCGACTCAGCTCATAATGCTGATCATTTATATACATATTTTATGTCTACGACGTTTCGTTTTGGGTGTTACAAACTTAATATCCCCTGTTCAGGCTAAAATATATGTATATAATATGAAAATCACTGGCTGCTTACTTACCACATGTATGGTGTTATTCAAAGCATCAATTTCACGTTGCTGATGCCACAACATCTGATTACATTGGCATACAGAATTGATGAGCATTTGTTGAGTTTGTACGAATTGCTGTAACAATACAGGATCGGCGGCCAATTGTGCAGCTGTATTTGTAGAGCTTATTGTTGGTGTTGGTCCGCTAACAATGGGCGCATTAGTAGCACTATTTGCTGCACTGCAAATACATTCACTGTTCACGGCAGATTGTGGCAGCAAACCAACTGGTGTGAATGGTGCACCAACACTCTGATTTGTTGTTGCCGAGTTTGGTTGTGTTGCAGTTATTGGATGTGACGGAGCGCCAAAACCATAGTACAATTGTGGATTCCAAGTGTTGGGCATTGGAGGTAGCGGTGCTGATGGAGAGTTAAAAAAGTTATTTAAAACTAGAACATAAATTAATAAAGCAATTATAATTAAAAAAAAAAACTTACGCCAACTGCTGCAAGCGCCCATGGCCGGCATTGGTGGTGGCATTGAGAATTGGGAGCTGCCCGATTGTACGCTACCAGCTTCTAGGGAAGCGCCATCCTGTGTGGTACTATTGGCATTGGCTAGTGTAGAATGACGACGTTCACCTGCCGTAGATGACGTTAAATTTGTGTCAAAGCTTTCTTCCTTACCCAGAGGTCTGGCTGATACATGTTGTCCTTGGCTTTGAAGACAGTGTCCATTTACTTTTGCCGATGCTGCTCCAGCAGCCAAGGTATGTGCAGTTACAGCAGCTTTTGCGGCAGCGCGATGCTGCTGAGCCGGAGTAGATTGTTGTTGGGGTGCCGAAAAATATTGACGTCCAGTCGAAGTTGTATTCGAAGTGGGGAAGTCCGAATCATTTAGCTCTTCATCGCCATCTGCCTCGTCGTCAGCTTCGGAGACAGTATCTCGACGGCGTGGTTCTTTAATGCCAGTTGGTGCAATAGTGGCACTGTTATCGTCTTGCTGTAAACGTTGACACAACAGTTCGAATTCCTTTTTCTTTGTCTCATATTCTTTTTTGAGTTGGTCGCTTTCGGCATTTGTTGACGGCGGTGGCGTGGGAGTGTCATCTTCACGTTGTTTACGACTGCGTGGTATGGGCGTGGGTGTTAAACTGCTGCGCTTTAAAGCATCTTCACCAAGTTTGGCTGCGTCAGCTGCTTGTTGTTTGCGCAAAACGATTTCTTCCTTCAACGCCTTTATGCGATCGCGTTCGGCCTGCAAACTTTCGGCCTGCGCACGTAAATCAGCGGTTACTTCATTAATCATACGCATTTTTCGTGTAAGATATACATCATCGCCAATGTCATCCGCGCTGCCAGCAGCATGTGCCGGTACAACCGAAACAGGTGTACAATCGCGATCAAACGATGAGCCGGTCGAACGTGATTGTGAACGAAGTTCACGTGGAGGTGTACGACCAATATCACCAACATCTCGCGATGTGCGCGCTTCTATTATATTCACAGTCTCCATCATCTCTTTTAGACGTTGTAATTGCTTACGCATCGTTTCTATATCGGCAACTTTTTGTTGTATAAGCATAGCGGTGGCGGCTTTTTGTTCGGGATCGTCATTTTCATCATCATCATCATCGATATTGGCTGCATTTCCAGCTGTTTCAGGTACACCGCCATTGGTGAGTTTTATGGGCACATTACGCATATAAGTGACGGGCACAATGCGTGCACCATTAGTCGCATTTGGTGTTTCTTCGCGCTCTTGCGTTATTTGTTTTACCGCGGGTGTTTCGCTAACATTAGCGTCGTTTTCGCTTTCCCTCGTACCCATAGCACATCTACGTTCGGCGTTACGATTAATATCTTGCAGTTCGCTCACCAATGTACGCATATCATCACGTTGCGCACGCAAGGATTCAAGTTTATGTTGCAATGCTTCTTGTTCGGCTAGGATTTCGGGACCATCATCACCCAAAAGATTGCTTAACTCATTCTGGTTTTGTATAAATGTGGTGAGATTTTTCATGCGCCCAACCAATGTTGCCATATCTGAATGCACTTGATCGATTGACTCATATTCAGGTGAGCCATCAGCATTGGACGAGCCGTTTAGTTGGTTAGCACCAAAACTTAAAGTACCAGCCTGTTGGCGCAGATGTTCCATCTCGCTCAAATGCTGTTTGGCGGCATTTTGTAAACGCAACAGCTGTTGCTGCTGCTCTTGCATATTTTGTATATTACGATTCGAAGTCTCCAAACGTTGCTGTAATTCATCGAAACTTGGTGAGGTATCTGGTGTAGGCGTTTCAACGCTGTGCAATGATTGTATAGATTGTGCGCGATTATCGTTCAACTGAAATAATCAAAAAAAAATTGTTTTAGTTGCTTACATAAATAACAATAATTACTACATACCTCACTAAGAGCAACATCCTCCAGACTTGTTGAATTCACTACAACTTCACGTTCCATACTTTCGGTTTTATTTTCATATACCATTAACGTCTTAGGTAAATTTTGTTGAACAGTTAAATTAGCTGCGCTTACTCTTGGTGTTATATCTTCGTTCTGTTTTGGTAAACGCTGATTAAGTGAAGTAATTGTTGGCGCAGTTATCTTCAAAAAATGTTTAATTAATTGTAAACGTTGTAGTAAAATCGACTCAACATTTACGCCTTCACCGAAACGAATTTGCTGTGGATTTGTCGAAGGCACCGCTCTTGCAACAGCTGTTGACAAAGCAGTAATAGTCGGTGTTGGCGTTGTAGTTATACTGGTGCCCAAATTTAGTAGTCTAACCGGCAACAACGGCGTTTTATTCGCTTTGGTTAACTTTACAAATGAATTTTGTCTTGCTTTTGAAATCGTATGTGGTTCCTTTAATATTTTTTGTGTTTGTGCGGAGTTAGTTCCATGCGAGATACTAGCTTCTCTTAACACATGTTCTGGTGACTTTTGTTCTAACGATGTACTAGGCAATGCCGGAGGTGATTGTGTGTTTTGCTCTGATTCTAAAAGTGGTTTGCCAATATTATTATTTTACAAAATTTCAGATCATAAATTATAAAAAAAACAAGAAAAAACGAATCTAAGCTTAATATCCCTCACAAATAAAAAAGTTTTCCATAGAAGAACTTTATTTTGAGAGTTCAGGTATGGCAGCTATATGCTATGGTATATGCTCCAATATCGGCAGTTCCGACAAATGAGATATGATTCTTGGGGAGAAAATTACGTGTGCAGAATTTCAGATCGATATCTCAAAAACTGAGAGACTAGCTAGTATATATACAGAAAGACAAACCGACCGATATGGCTATATCGACTCGGCTCGTCACGCTAATCATTTATACATATATAAATTTTATAGGATCACCGACGATTCCTTCTATATGTCACAAACTTAGTCAACCTGTTTATGGTATAAAAGACTAATTTCGTTTAAATTAATCTATTTGCTGCCCCAGTGGGCAATAAGAAATGTTTACATGAACTATTGTATTATTTTTAGCATGTAGACCATTCTCTGGAGCAATGATTCATCATAAACATTTCAAGACAATAATATATTTCGTAACGCGCAGAAATTTGTCACGATCTAAATGTATGATAAAAAATTGAGTTTACATATATATATGACATTTAAAGAGGAAATAATATTTCCAATTTTGAAAGTATGTGAATAATTTGGAGAAGTACCACGATCAAATTTTATTTATTTTCTTTAAGCGGCAAAGAGATGGGAAAAATGTATACGCAGCAAAGAGATATTGCGGAAAACTAAAATTAGATACTATTTTTAGAAATGCGCTGGTCGCTATCTGTGTTCGAATTCATATACGACGTACAAACAGGTAAAAATATATGAAATTTACAAAGAAAATCTTAAAAAATAAGTTAAGTAACATAATTTTATAAACATACATATATATACTCCATTAAAAACCCGAACTATTAAGGACATCAATAACTTACCACTTTTGCTGATGTCGCAATGGTTATCTGTTATATTTCCGTTTATATGTGCCGATGGTTTTTCTGGACTATGTTGTCTTTTTCTCTGCACATCCGCTGCGGCAGAACTTATATTATTATTATTAATATTACGTTTATTACAATTTCGATTGTTTCCTTTTGGAAATGCTGATTCAGTTTCGCCGCTGGTTGTTGCAGATGCTTTATGCGTTTTCACTGTTACACCACGACTTGTCGGTCGATTCGTTGACACTGCGTAATCCTTTAAATAGAGTGTAAAACACCAAACTATTAAAAGCGCACAGCAAATTAAAACCAATGACACTTTGAATGACTCAATTGTGAACAACTAAATGCTTTAACTGTGTAAAGTGAAATTGGTCTATTTTTGAAAGTTCAAAGATTCAATGAGAGAATTTTTACATGTGCTTTGTTCAATTACAAAACAAATTCGTGAGGATTCGATTCTGATGATCTACTCGTAGTGACACCTTCGTGTCCAAATCGGTACTAAATCGCGAGATCTTTGCCGAAACTCAAATCTCTTGGCCTAACGAAACTTAGTAAAAACATTTTTGAAAATTTCTCTTTTGAGATAATATCTGTATTGCTCTTATTAAGTTTGTTTATATTTTTGATAAAACTTTATGAATATACACGTATATGTAGTAAGCATTTTAGAGAATTTAGAGTATTAAATTTATTTTACGAAAAACATGAAGCCATGCTAGTTAAAATATTTCATTGATTTATAAATTTTAATTTACTTAAAATTTTGAACATATTAACTTCTAAATTTATTGAAATCCTATTACAAGTATGTACATTTGTACAATATTTGAAAACAAAGAATAATTTCATTTACAAATTTTAAATAGGTTTACATACAACAAGCAAAACTCATATACATTTGCCTCATTGCTATTTACCTGCCATCGAACACAACAATCTGAAGATGTTCCTGTTGTGCCACTACCACCACTGACCCCAGAGTTTATGCGGTGCCGTTGAGCAGACCTATGTGATCTTTTATGTGGTTGTTGTTGCATTAATGTTTGTTTACTTTTTTGCTGTAAGATATAATGCAACATAATAAATTATAACTACAATATAAATTGACTAATAGCAAAAGCAACTAGTTTATAATTTTCCTTTCAACGATCTATATATATATATATATAATGTATGTAAATGTATATATATATATATATATTTACCAAATTATAGGGGTTGTAATCCTGCTCTAAATTACTTCACCTTACCATTTCTGTTTCCTTTGTGACTTGAACCGTAGTTATATTTCTCACTGGAGCCATAACCTTTTTATAGCTATTTTACAGATGGCATGGCATTAGTTAATTCATATTTTAAATAAACATTAATATTTTCAGATTCTTCCTTTTTTGTATACACTGACCTGGCTTGAAATTTTTGCTCTTTTACTTCCTAAATCACTTCTGCGTTCGGGTTCTTTTATTGGTGACCATGCAAGCTTCCACTATTCCCTATCGAATTATTATTACGAAATTTTTTAAATACTATTATAACATTTAGTCAAAAAATGTATGTATGGTTTCTACAAAATTTTCTGACAGCGAAAGAATTTTTCAATTCATTTGAAATTTTACATCAAAGTTATGTTCTACACTCTGCACTAACAAATTTTGGCTTTTGAATGTTTCACTCAATTCCGTTTTGTTGTTCTCTTTTTCTTTATCATATGCTATTTGCCATATCTTTTGAAATTGCACAAATGTCAAATATCATAAGCAAAAATTCTGACTACCCAGCAGCAAAAACAAAAACATTTGAGTAAACAGCTCTCAGCAATAAATATCACCACTTTGCTCTCAAAGCGAGAAAATTATCAGGGTAGGCTGCAATGTTCCATTTGCACAAACTGTTAGGCAGTTATATAAAAGGTATTGTCATATGGCAACTTTGTACGGATCTACAATTAAGACAAACCACACAACCTATATTCTACTAATGAAAACTTTAAAGGGGGAGTAGGTGTATTTCTGTAAAAAAAAGCCCCATTTTTTGAATTCTTTGATGAAATAGTTAAAAGTTATTTTTAAAAACCAATGGTACGTTATAGTATGACATTCATGAAGAAATATTAAAACATGCGGCAATGGTAGCCATTACTCAGGAGCGTCGCGGAAAAAAGTTAAATGCCGGTGTCCCTCGTAACTCGATGCTGGATCATCTAAAATAAAAAATTGAAAACTATATCGTTACTTAATCGCTTTGCCAAGGAAACGCTGAGGATTTTTTCTAAATTTCAAATTTTAACTTTTTGGGAACACTTTAAAGGAAAGAACGAGATTTTTTGTAAAATTTTTTTCTGTAAAATGAAAAATATTAAAAAATTTAAAACCTCTAATGTTAACTCGTAAATTATGCATAAAAATAGTATTCAAAGATTAAAAACGATCGTGCAGTAGTTATGATGTTATGAGGGACACAGGCTCACGTGAGTTGTAGAGAAAACGCTTTGAAGTTTTAAAATCTGATGTAAAACGTTCCTAAAAAAGTTAAAACTAAACATTTAATAATAATATTCATTCAATTAAAACAAAAAAAAAATCGAAAAAAACATTTAAAAACCCTACTCCCCTTAATCAGAATCAACACTAATGTAATATAAATAATTGTTACCTTAGATATATATATATAATATATACTTGTATGTATATTAAAACCGTAACCCAAAATCTCATTGTAGACGCATAATTTAATATAATGTATTAAATTTTATTAAATAAAACTGTTGAATATATATGCTTGAAGTATAAATACATATTTAACATTTATAACATGGCTATATGTTCAAATCAATTTCGGTTTTTTGGATCCGAAATTAAGCTCATATACAGGTGGAATAAGTATAATGCATACATACACCAGCAATCAATAATAGTTTTGTTTTATAATATTATAAGATATCTTAGCAAAATTTTATGACTGACGCTTCCTGCGTAAAAGATCTTCCTTAAGCGCACGCAAACGATCACGTTCGGCACGCAAATCATCCGCCTGGCTACGTAAATCTGCTGTAAAATCACTAAACATATTCATCATAGCTGAGAGTAACTCCTCATTGGCCAGCTGTGATGGTGCATATGAGTTAAGAGCTTGCTCCTCGTCGTTCGGTGTATTTTCGTATTTTTTTGCTTCATTTTGTATGTTAGTATCGCCTTCGTTTAATTTAGTATTTGGTTGAACAGTCGTTGTGCTGGTCACACATGGAGATTGCACTTCGGTTAAGCTATCGGCAATAATTAATTTATTTAGTGAACTCTCCAATGCGGCTGCGGCAGTGCTATTTGGAACACCTTTCGAGGCTATGTGTTCCTCTATCATTTCAGTGGTATTCATAATGTTCTGAACTTGCTTAAAACGTGCTTTCAATGCCGCTATTTCTGCTAACTTTTTCTGCAAATACGCTGCTGTTTCAGGGTCATCGTTATCCTCCTCGTTTTCGGACGATTTCGTTTGTGTTAGACCAAATGTTGTTGTACTGCTGTCTTTATTTAAATTGGCGCTTTGTTCAATGGCATCATTTGACGAGGCTATGTCTTGCTCCTCAACTTCTGCAGTGGCTAATTCTGAGGCATCGCTCTGTTGATGGTTTGCACCAGTTTCCTGTGTATCAGGTGTATGTGTCCTTTCACGTCGCTGTTCGCCGACACGACTGAATTGTTGCTCATTCAAATTGCTTAAGGCAGCAGCACGTTGTCGTAGTACTTGCATTTCTTGTAGCAACTGTCGGTGTTCCTCCTGCATCTCCTGCAATTGTCTTTGGGAATCCAGCAGGCGCTGAAAATATGGGAACAATATATTATTTTTTATTTGACATTATTTTGTAGGCAATATTTTTGGAAAATAATTAATATTTACCTCACCAAGCGCTAAATTTTCCTGTGAAGGTGGTTTGTTGGGTTCGTTTACCATTTTTATGTTTACCTAGAAAGAATATTATATGTATACCAAGAATTTAGTTTAGATAAACATTAGCGCTTATTAGCTTATTTTATGGATTAATTATAATAAAATATTTCCTCAACAAATTGCAAATGCATGTCTATATTGATATATCTATTGTATATACATATATATGTATACAAATATACATATATGATAATTGCATGGTGAAATATAAATCATAAAGTAATATCAGTTGAGCTACCGTAATTTAAAAATACGATTACATAGTTTGATTAAAAAATGTTAAGTAAGAAAACCTAAATATCAAAAACAATTAAAAATAAATAAAAATTTTATAAATCGTTAATAATATAAATAATTTAATAGTTAGGAAATAATCTTTTATTTGTGAAGTTTACTTTTAATTTATTTGGGACGACAAGAGCACTAACTGAAAAAATTGTACACCTTATTAAAAAATAAATAACCTACATAAAACAAAACATCAGTAGTTTGATAAGAAAAATTAGTACTTAATAACTACAATAAATCATCTATTCGTTACATAAAGAGTCGTAAAAGTGTTTCTTTGATAATAAATATATCAGAAAAAATAATGACAATATCAAGCACTGTTTCACTTTAAAAGCACAAACAAATCGATTTGTTTTTTTTATATTTCGATAGGTATATAATCTAGCTTTAAAAATAACATACTAAAGTTTTAAATCGATATCTCAAATATTTTTTGAGTTACAGCTTTGTAAAATATAACCAGTCAGTTCAATCAGCTTAATCAGTGTATTTTTAAATGCGTTTTTCAAAAACTAAATTTTTCGAATTTGCTTCGGTGACTACTTGAAAAAATAATCCGATCACTTTCAAAATTTGTCCGCATGTTCTGTATAGCCAAAAACGCCCATAATTTTGGGTATAATTCAACTTTTTTTTAAATATCACCATTTTGAAAATTTTTGATATTTTTCCACCATAGGTCATTGTACGGACAATATCTTCTAATAAAGAATTATATTTTAGGTTTAATCCACGGAGAAGATCGCAATCACTACAGCAATAGAGGACCTATTTTATCGCTATCGGAGATCGCATGTAACTCAAAAAGCATTTAATTTTTTTCTTCAACAATTTTACTTTGTATTTATTAAATATGTACAAATATACTCTTAAAATTTTAAAGCAATTGATATAGTAGTTTTTTTCATTGCCGAAAATTTCCGTTTGTTTGGGCTGTCACACTAAATGTGCCTTTAAATTTAGATATTCACTTTTAAATATCACAACACCCTGTATAGAAAGTGCATAAAAAGATTTCATGAACAACTTATGCTAAAAATAGTTAAAATTTATTTTCCTGTCATTGCACAGAAACTAATTAAATTTTTTCAAGTCATTAATGTCACTTTCTACTTTTTTTTTAATAATATATATTTTTGTAAGTAAAATAAATATGATAAACTGTTGCCACTTAAACAGAAATATACGCTTTTAAATACATGTATTAAACAATGAAAATACGAAATTTGAAAAAAAATCGCTTTTACCAAAACCTTCAAAACAAAGAATTTTCACGCACGATTGTCGCAGCAAACAGTCCAATAGCAACTGAGTAATATGATTTTCAGCGCTTTTACCGAAAAACGGAGATAAACTGTTGCTCTGGTTTTGCTAAATCAAAGAGAAAAACGAAGAATAGGTGTGAAAATATACTAGGTGTACATATGCATGTATGTATGTATTGTGTTTTAGATTTTATAAGATCGGCTGTGCGCGTGAAGAATGTTATTGTGGCTATATATATAAATATATACATACATATGTGTATATGCGCTTATGTATAATAACAAAACAGATACCTTGTGGATAGGCCATAGTGGTCTCAATAAAGGGTGTTTGCTCTTACACAGCTTGATAAGGGTTTTTAAGATTCAAAAAAATTGAAATTAATACTTGAAATATTACTCATACGACACGTATTCCATGCTTGAAATCAGAGTAATTTTGAATCTTAAATATTAGCTAGAAGACAAGTATTTATATATAAACGCGTTTTTACACCTTTCATAGATATCTGGACGATTTTCTGTTTCCATTTAGTGTATTTACCTACTCTGATATTGATCGGGAACTTGAATCGAGTATGGATCAAGCGCCTCTCTACAAGTATGCTGACTGCCTATCCTTTGAAATATCTAAGCTACAATAAAAATGCAAAATACGCGATCAGTCATTGTGTGTCGGCTTACAACTGTACATTTAAATTTATATTTAAATTTTATACTTTTGAATATTTTACACAAATATTTGTAATTTATATTTTTAAGATTTACGTTAAATATTTTCTGGTATACGGCACTCCTCGAACTCAACATCATAAAGTAGTCCAGGCGTACACTCAAGCACTATCTCCATGCCATTGAAGCAGTAGTATTTGGCTGGGTCGAGATGTGCAATAAAATTGGCACCGTCAGCAGGGCAGTCAGTATCAGCGTACCTGGGTGGCACCTTCGAAACAAGGACTTAAAAAATAATAAATTAATTTTATATATTTATGACTATCGATATATACGCAATTCAACTCACTTGTGTCTCAGTCTATTGATTTGCGGTATTATTTGTCGTCGTACGGAAGTTATTTGAATGATTATTAATTAATTGGTTTTTGATCATTATATAGGTTCATGAAATTATGACTAATTATGACTCCGAAGTATGACTAGTTTTCATTAATAAATTGAATTGTCATGTGATTGTTACACTTATCTGCCAAAATATTATTAAACATACAAAAACATATATTTTGTGATAATATCAGAGTAGATAGAATCGAAAAGTTCCCGAAATCATACAACAAAAAAGAAACAAAATTCGGTTTATGTTGTTGTTGCTGTTGCAACGGCAAAATTCTGCCGAGTTGATAGTTCTTAGCCAAAAAAAAAAAATAATAATAAAATCTGCGTACCGGTTACACAGACCCGACTTGGCGATGCAATACATGTGTACATATCCAATTTATAAGCGAACTTAACATAGCCTTTATTTTGATTGGTCTTGGAATAGTCAAAGTACTCTAGGAAAATGGTTAACCTCGCTTACTGGGTGTATAAACAATTTATATGTTCTTAGAACTCGACGTGTACAAAAATATACTTTTATTCTCTATAAGTCAGAAGTGGTATGTTCCATAGTAGATGAAAGTCGATCGATGCTCTCAACATGTGCAACAAATTGTATATTCTTATCGAGTAAAAAATCAGTTGTTCTAAATTTTGTTTGGAAAAAAAAGTTACTCGACCATAATTATAATAATACAATTGGTTTTCCGATTTTAATGCTTTTTCATTAGGCGTTAGGACAGTCGGGAGACCACAAAAGCGGCGTAACTTTGACGATTTATTCTGGGAGAAAGAAAAAGAAGTCGAACTTCTTTTATTCAGGCTTTATTAAACATTTATTTGAACGTATGAAAAATTTTTTATATTCATATTTTGATACAAAATGGCGGCTACTGAGCCAATTTTCGGTATCACCATTTCCACGATGGCCTATACGGACGACGGTTATTCTAGGAACTGTTGCTATCTGAAACAAAAGCGGTGTCGTCGGCTTAATCTACATGAATTTTTTGCAAAATGGCGGACTTATAAAAAAAGTTTATATTTTTTACCGAAAAAATACTAGTAAATTGTTTATAAAAAAAAAGTTGCAATAATTACAAAAGAATAGTGCGTAGAAGGTGCGCTATAGGTTAAGCCCTTAAAATTAGATTTTTTGAAATTTCTAGATTGATCTAACTTTTTAACTCACTCGTTTACTGCTCTGTATTACATTATCATCTGCATTACATATATATATATATATTAGGGTGGAGCGAATTTTTTTTTTATTTGCTTAGCATAAGGGTAAAATTTGTAGATTATAAAAACGAAAAGTTTTTGAAAAATTTTTTTTTTATATATCTTGAGCCGGGCCGGCTCACTTTTAAAGTAAATTTCGAGTTATAATTTTTTTTGGACAGAAAAGGTTTTTGATTCAAAATTTATTTTAACGCTTAAATGTTGTCGGTTAAAACTTTTTTTTAAACTCCAATAATGACCATAAAATTTGTTTTTAGTTGATAACTTTTAATTGGCCAGAAAGAGGACTATCCACAGATTCTAAAACACTTATCAAAACAATTTTACAAAATAAATATTTTAATTCGAAATTTACTTTAAAAGCCTGTAGATTTAAAAAAAAAATTTTTCCAACAATTTCCTTTTTTTATAAGCTACGAAGGCTAAGCAAAAAAACAAAAAAAAATTTCGGTCCACCCTAATATATATATACCTCAAAATATTAATAAAATTAGGGTTAACTTCAGATCAAACACGTTCAATTGGAATGCCAATTGAGCTTGAAAATTATTCTCAACTATAGGAAGTGACATTTAACTTTAAGCCAATGGATTGGTTGATGCTGGTAGTGTATATTCGTCTCAGCATTGAAATTCTCTATTCGATTTTAAGTTGTGAAACGTTTAAAATATATGACTTTCACCAAATAATTGAATAAAAAATTTTCTCAGTTGATTTTCATTTAACCTCAACCTTTTTATTTAATTGCTTAGCGATCAAAACAAGTTCACCCTGTCTTGATAATTTTTAATAATTGTACGTGGCAAAATATCGAAGAACTAAAAAATGCACATATTCATTTAGCGATTATGGACGAGAGAAACTAAATATTTTTTTAGGATATTCTTTTTAATAATTTTTTAGGATATCCTCTTTGCGGCGGCAAGCGCCCATCCCCATGTCAAAGAACAGATTGGCAGCGCAAGTCATTAGTGCACCCTTACCGTTAACACACATGTAGTATTGATTTAAGTTTTCGTGTGCGATCTGCTGAATACCCTCACGGGGGCAGCTGATATCGACCATGCGTGGAGCGATCTCGGCAGCACTTTGGAAGGAACGTGATCTAGGTATAGCGGCAATCTATAAAGCATATAATTGAATATGATAATAGTGTACAATAACATTAACATATTAATTAGACTCACAGTGCAATTAGAATTAGCTGGACGGACGCATTGGTTGTTGACAGCGTTAAATTGCAAACTACCGACACATGTTCGGTTTTGTGGCTGGCCATTCATGCATATAAAATATCTACAACAGAAATACATACATAATTATGAAATTATCAATAGTTCACCAATTATTCTTATATTCACCTCGAACACGACGCCTGGCTAGGAGCGTAGACAATACTATCGGGACTATCATAAATGGAACAACGGTTTGCAACACAATCCACATTTTGTGGATAATCGCAAGCATTTAAGTTCGGGTTGTATTGTAAATCATCAGCGCATTCTTGTAGCACCGGTGTACCAGCAAAGCAGAGCGCATATTTGTTGCAAGTCCTTTCCAAGCCCACTGAAGACAATATATTCGGGTTGCATGACAAGCAGGACGAGTTGGATACCTCACACGATTGCGTCCTGCCATTAAAGAAGTAGTTATTACGACATTGCTGAGCGATCGGCTCGCCATTAACGCAAATATAATAGTTGGTGCAGTTAGTGATATCCGTTACAAAAACGTTGTTGGCCACACCTGCACAAAGATTAATGGACGTTGCATTAGCGGCGACAATGAAGCCAATGATTGCCAGCAAACCAATAGCGTAGTCACAATTCACTAAAACAAAAATGTTATTGTAGATTTAATGAGTAATCCTGCAACAATAGGAACTCACTGTTTGCCGTAAGAAGTGGTTATAAGTTCCAAGTGTTTATGCTTGCCGCGTTACGAAGAAGCCTTAGCAGCCGTTATTGTCGTCAAGTTGTACTGCGTAAGACGTACTGTTTGTTACCTTTAATGTGGGTTCATTTTTATATTCTTGGTTGACAGCATTTAAACACTGATAGTCATAATAGCAATAAAAAACAGCTCAAAATGGTAAAGATGCTATCAATTTTCGATCTTATCAAAACATGCTTATGTAGTCTCGAATAGGAGCACATGCACACACTAACGGTATATGCACGTTTAAAAGTGTTAACCGAGTGTTTTTGTTGGCTTTTACAAAAATTTCTATACGAAAACATACTACATATTTAAGTATGTGTGTATGTGAAATATCCAAAGCATTGAACTTCAAAAAGTTATCATTACAGTTTCATGGTTCTTTACAATGAAAGTATCTGCGATAAAATGTTTTGCTTTAATAAATTACTTTAACAATATGGCAACGCTTTAGACCTTTATAATTATATCATCTGATCAATTTTGCCCCAGGTTGGTCAATTTAAACTGCGTGCGAAGACCGAATTGATAATTTTTTTTTCCTAGGTTGGTACAAGAGGAAACCGAAACAAGAAACTTTAATTTCGGTAGCATCAAAGCTATATGTTATACTTTTCACTAATACAAAAGACTCCTTGCTAGAACTTAATTTCGAACGTTCAGTTTGATAGGCAGCTATATGCTTTTGTGATCCAATCTGAACAATTTCTTCGGAGATTACATTATTGCCTTAGACAATGCCAAATTTCATGAAGATATCTCGTCAAATGAAAAATTTTGAATTACAATAAGTGAAAATATAATTTTTGGCGGTACGGCTCAGATTTCATCAAAAGGAATGTGAAATAAAGACGACAAAACTGAATAACAAGCTCAATTAAACAACTGCAAGTATCTTATTAATACAAATAACTTTTCACTTACCTTAAAAGTATTATTAATATAAAATTATTAACAACATTGTATTCAAATAGTAAATATTATATTTTTATCATAAATTGACTGATATATAATTTAACTTTAATTATTAACTTTAAAACACACTATAATCAAGCGGAAAACCTACAAAGAAAATATTTACATATATCATTACTTATTGTACTTTTTTTTAGTAAATCAAATTTTTCTGCATGAAAACACGCTACTTCGACAATATTTACCAACTGTTGTATTCGTACATAAATTACAAGTAATCATTTTAATGTTAACAACTGATAACTCAATTCGAGTGCTTCGCGCCAGTTCTCGCACTTAGTGCGCACAAGTTCAATGTGATTGAAATGCTAATGCAAAAAGCAAATAAGACTTTTGAATTTTTTTTTTTATAATTTTTAAGATTTTTAATGAATGAGCACACATTAATTATAACAATTACTTATAAATTTTGCTTTTACTTTCAACTGCCGACGAACATACCAATTGGTATATTGGCTGAATTGCATAAGATACGCTTACTATGAGTACGAGTAGATAATTTACTACATATTTGGAATTTTTCGCAGCTTGTTCCGGCGAAAATGTGATATGGTAGAAATGTTGAAACCATTACAGAAAATTTGTTAAATTTAAATTCCGAAAATTATTACATGGATGGAAAAATCTATGCTGTGGCCAAGAAATCGCGCTATAAAAATAATCTCTTACAGGGAAGGTACTAACCTTAACTAGAATATTATCAAGATTTTATGACGTTGCATTGAATAGCTCTCAAGTTATTGGTCTCAAAGTGACATTTTTGTTTACAAAGGTTGGAAAAAAGTGAGTTGATTACAACCAATGGCTCAATAAGTTATAGCAATTCTGCTCCCGAACATATAGTTATATTTGCTGAACTTTTTTGGAACCACATCAGTACAAATTATGCGCGCGGAAGTTCCGAAGAAGCAGTAACACGATAAAATATCGAGCAAATACATAACATTTTTGTTAAGATCTCAAACGAATGCATTTATCACATTTTTACAAAAGAAAATGCTCGGATTTGGCAGCCAGCTATAATTTCTTCCAACTTTTCTTTCCCAGACTCAAAAAATGGCACATTGGCAAATAATTACACTCATATATATGTACATTGTAGGGGCAAGAATGTTTGGTGGCAATTGAGCTCGACTCTGGTTCTAGTTTTCAAAAAAAAAAAATATATTTCTGACGTATACTCTGAACATGTCGGCAGCGAGCCTCGTTGAATAGAAAAAATTGTTTAAGGTTAAATTATTCGTTTGATACTTTTAACTTGTTTATTATAATATATAGATTCGGCAATTGTGGTATAAATTTCTTCTACAATTATTTTATTTTGACAGAAATTGTAATTTATTTGAACTGTAACAGACGACAAGGAAAGCTCTGTTTCAAAAATTTGCACATGCGCATAGGAAATAACCAAAACGTATGAATAAGAAAAAGTAATACAGCATCGCAGCCAAAGCAGCATCAATTCAAGCACAACAATGCAACAGACAAGTGGTGGGATGTCGAAATCGCATGAAAAGCTTTAAAGCTACTAGAAATGGCAGAGAGGCCAGCGATTGCAGAAGAGCACCACAACCGTAATGCGACCGAACACTTTGCATATGATTTAGTCCTTTCGCAGACAGACGACCGAGTGTAGTGCGAGCCAACAAATCAAGTGAGACTCCGCCAATATATAAAATTGACTCGCGTAAAAAATAACTATCCAAATATATAAATATACAAAGAAAAAATTAAGTACTGTATAAAAAAAAATCATTACTAGACTGCCATATAAGGTTAAATATTCAAATGAAAATATTCAGAAATATTATTATTTAAGTAAAACGCGAAAACGTGACAATCGAATAGCAAAAAAATGCTACATTTCACAATAAGAAGTGTGTGAAAATGTATTGCGAAGTTGGTAAGAATTGAGTGCAAGTAGGTAAAAGCCGAGGGAAATTTTCAAGGACTCGTCGGGACAAACCACATACACACGCATTCTAGTTAGAAAAGGTGACAAGCAGCAGCACCCTATGTGTTCAAAATAGTGTTAAAAAACAAAAGCAAACAAAAAATATAAACAGATTTTTATTTGTGTACAATTTTCGTGTATTTGCGTCCACCAGACATACTACACAGAAGACGGCAGAGTCAGACGAAACGTATAAGTTGCCAAAACAAAGAAAAGTGAAAGACGAAAGAACTGACTAATTGAAAACGTGCTGTAGGCGAAAGTAGAAGTTGTGAGTGCAGTTGATAACAAAGTAAGTATGTGAAAGAATATAAAATACTTGCCACTATAAGGGGCATTCGTAGCTGCAAAAATACTGAATATTTTAATTAGGATTTTATACCTTATGTACTCGTATGCTTAGTAAATGTAAGATGCAAACTTTAATGTAAAAATTTGCAATTTTGTTTAGTATTACTTTTAACTTAATCTTATGGGTTAATATTAAGATTACCACGAAGTTTGTACCACACAGAAGAAAATGTCGGAGACCCTATAAAGTATATAGAATATAACTCATCAGCGTGGTGTGCTAATTCCATTTGGCCCTCAGTTTTTGAGATACCGATCTGAAATTCTGCACACGTTCTTTTTCCTTCAAAAAGCTGCTCATTTGTTGGAATCGCCAATATCGGACCATATAAACAGAAGGCTCAAAATCTTTTTATGGAATTTTTTTTTATTTGACAAGATATCTGCAAGAAATTTGGCATAGATTATTGTATAAAGCAAGGCTACAATCTCTAAACATATTATTTGGATCGCACTATTATAGCATATAACTGCCATATAAACCGATCGATCAAAATGAAGTCATTGTGTGGAAAATCTTTTAATTAACAAATTATCTTCACGCAAAGACAATAGTCTAAGGCAACGCTAACTGCTCTGAGCATGTCATTCAGTTCGAATCACTACAGCATATAGCTGCTATATATACAGACCGATAAAAATCATGATAAGTTCAACAGAGTTTCTTGAGTTGATCAAATTTTTGTTGTATTTGCAGTACATCCGATAATTTTCAATACAATTTTAAAGGATAAAAACAACTTACTATTGAGCAGTGTTATAGAATAAGCAGCGATCAACAGGGCGTATGAGTGATGACAATGAATATTCAACGCGGGGAAAACACACTTTTGCTTAGAAAACCTCAACTACCATACACACTGGATATTGATATTGTTTATAAATTTTGTGTACATATTTTTTTAAATATTTTAATAACTATTACAATTACAGCGCTCATAAAACAATTTTATATCAAGCTCAAAAAACATCGCTGAAACTCGTGGTTAACATATATCCACATTTTATACAAACTTATGATATATTAAGTAAATAATTACATTTCATCAAAAAAAATTTTACAAAAAAAATTTTACAAAAAAATTTTACAAAAAAATTTTACAAAAAAAATTTGTTTCCCCATCTTTATTTCTTCTAACTTTCGCAATAGTTTTTTTTTTTTTTTGTTTTAACACCTTAATTGATTTTAATTTTGAACAACTTTTTCAAACTGTAAGATTTCCACAAAAGACAGCAAAATGTAAAAGCCATTTAATGCTGAATCAACTTTGACATGATTTCAATTCAAGTATTGCCTTAATAATCATTAACATTGTCAATGACAATACGCATTGGCAAGGGCAATCAGAACAAAGTTGACTGTTGTAATAGAATAGTGGCAAGTATGATGAGAGCTTCCTGCGTCGACAACATTAAACCGCCATGCTTTAATTACAACTACAATGAGGTTACCTTAATGCACTAATCGAATACACGGTATTATGTATCTACATATTTATCTATATACGCATGCATGTGCATATGCTTATGTACCCACAAATAAAGCAAAAAGTTGCCTAACGTGCAACCGTTATACATACATATGCATATTGTTGTTGGCGTTGAGATTGTACGGCATTGTGCGGTTCAGGTCGTTGATAACTCTGTGCCGAGCACTTGCACTTGAGCCACATGCACGACCTATAAAACCGCTTGAAGTACCACATAGCCGAACAACCGCACGACGCCAACCACTCACCTAGGTTATCAACTGGTTACCTTTGCTTGTGTTTACCACAGCAATTCTAACTGCAAAGCAACAACAATAAAAACTATGCATAAAACTTACACACAGATTTTTATGCTCTACCTTTGTACTGTGCACTTGAATGCCTTTTAATTATTGACTTTTACACCGCAATCACTCCCACTATACAAGTACATATATATATACTTGCAAAAGTGCAAGCATAGCACAGCAATGTATGTAAGTGTGACAGTTTGCAACTGAAAAATTGTCTCAAACAAGAATTAATGTTATGTGTACATGATGTACGTATACATACTTACATATGTAAAAGTTGGTATTACACACTTATATATATATAGATTTTTACGTACATATATTAATAAAGTAACGCACCTGCATTCGTTACAGGTTGTTGTATGTGACATGCAAGCATCAACAAAAATTGTAATATAACAGTGCAGCGAAGGCAAATGCAGCATAAGGCATGAGCAGAGTAGGGTTTTGTTGCTTTCTCGTTTGCTTTGCTATGCAGTCGCAAATTAATTACATTTTCCTATTAGATGTTGCAGTTTCGCAACGGATGTCGCGATACGCGAACACGTGGCAAAACAAGTTATTTAGGCATATTGCTTTATATACATGTACATACATACATTAGGTTGAGCCATATCAAATTTGTGGGTTACAATGAACGTATATATAGGAAAAAAATATCACTGGAATGCAGGTTTTTTTTTTGTCTTACGAGTATTCTTAAAAGGTCTCGGTGAACATTCAAATTTCCTCATATGAATCGGTTTTCATTAAACATACCAAAACTTTTGAAGCGTTTCGAATAACATTTTTACATCGCGAAAAATCAATGCGATTTTTTTTGTCATTTCAAAACTTTGTATATTTAAAAGCTTTGTAAAGAGAACCAAATCAAAATATTTTTAAAAATGTTAGATTAAAATTTTTATATCGCGGTACAAAAAAAATCTAACTCAAGGAGTTTTGTTGCAAATCTAAAATGTGTATATTAAAAAGCTTTGTAAAGTATAATTTAAAATATAATTAAAAGTGTAAATTTTAACAAAAAAACCTTGATTCAAATAAAATAAAATATTGTTATTGAAAACAGATTTTTACATGTTATTTACAATATATGGGAAACTTTGAATACACACCATCACCTTTTAAAGGTTAATTGTAATTCATAAATTCAATATTACTGTTTATGGCTCACATATGTATGTTGTATATGTGCTTTTAGGATGTAAAAATGTAAAAAACAAATAAAATTTTAAGGCACATAATTAAATACCTAAACTTAAACTTAAATAGATATTATAAATGGTGTGCACTATAGTGAAATTCTAAGGCGATATAAAATGTCTACAGGAATAAATTTGAGGTGTTTTTCTGGCTGCTATAAAAAAACAAAAAATATTTTTCTTATCAATTTTATGCAATGTATTTATTCGCGTTTTAACAATACAATACATAGTGAAAAAATGTAAAACTTAAGATATTATATTACAGCTGTTGAAGTGCGGAGTTGGCAAATATGGTGTGCATAAAAAATATATATATTTATCTAGTTATTAACGTATTAACTAAAAAGGATTAAAATATATTTTTTCACAAAATTTGCTTATGTGCGAAAAAATAATATTTTGTTTTACAATCTTCTGACTTTCTTCAAGTAAAATTTTTTCTATTTATTATAAATTTATAATAAATCGTAGTTAGTATGATACAAACATACATATGTCTGTAGAACTCACGCCAAAATTCAAGAAAATCAGTTAGGCAGAACACATCATCAAACGCGAAAACTCTTTGAAAAAACTAGTTTTGAGAAAAACGCGTTAAAAATTTTCAGAGAATTTGCGAACAGTATCAACTGAGACAGCCGATTTGAATGACGTATCACTAAAATACGAATATATCTCCGAAAATAATAAATTTTTTGACAAATTCTCTGAAGCGCATATTGTTGAAAGGTTAATCTATGAAAATATGAAACAAATATCGATATGCTATTAAGTAGTCAATCGCTTACACAACATTTTTGATTAAGATATAAACACTTTTTGCGTATTTCCAACAACTTTTCCAGCAAATTAAGATAAGCTGGAATTTAAATGATAATTTGACACATTAAGCTAAACTTGAATCCACAATTTTTCATGAATTTCATTTATACTACAACTAATTACGCACAATTTTGTGCCACAGCCTAAAAGTGAACAACGTTGCGTAAATACACATGAAACAAGTGTAAAAAATAAAAACACAGCATAAAATGGTGGATAATGCTGGCAACAGCTTTTTACTACCCTCATACAAGGAAACAACATGTGTAGGAATATAAAAAATGTCAACCTACATGTTTTATTTTTATTACTTTTTTCTTATTTAAGTATGTTTTGTTATTTAAGCGAAAATAGCATGTGCAAAAGTGCATTGCAACACTTAAACGCCCCCACCCACACATGCGCACGCCACACTCAAAATCGCGCTGCAGGACCACTGCTCTACAGCAGTAGGCGCTACCAAGTAACCAAACATCAAAATACTAATTGCTTTGACTCCTAGCATACACATATACAAACACACAAGCGCACACACATTCATACACAAAAAATTACTAATCGCAGCAGGATCTCAAACCCACTGCGTCTGGTTGCTGTGCTGACTGATAATTCAATGGCAGTTGTTGTTATTATTTTTTTTTTACTTTTCATCAACAATCGCATATGGCGACGTCTGTGTCTTTGTACAATTACACTGCTACTCACTTGCTGCATGCTTTGTTTGCGCTTAAGTTCACACATAAAAATTTTGAACCAATGCATGTAAATACATACATGCAGCTGTCTACATGTAGGCATGTATATTACATGTACCATATGTATGTATGTGCCTATGCATGTACGAGTGTCTACCGAATTACACATAGACGTGTATATGTATTTGTTTTTTTTTACGCTTGAAGACAGTCATATATAATTTTATATAGATTCTTATGTACATTCATAAATACCTACTTACGTATATGTGCGTATTTGTGTGTTGCTGTCAAAGCTTTTACAATGCTCTTTATTTGTGGCTCGCGTGGCTCCAAGCACTTACTCACACTTTATACTTCGTTTTTTTGTTGTTCTATGCTAGTGGCGAAAGTTATTTGATACATTCACTTGTGTTCGTAGGCGATTCCGCAATGCATTGCAGTTGTATTTGTACTAGGCTGCTGATGTAGCGGTATGATTCACAGTCAAAGTAACAAATAAACATTTTGAAGTGAGGCGAAGTGTGAACACGAGTTGTCAGATGATTCATGCCGATTTTCCCATAAGCTAAATAGATAAAGAACTAAAATTTAATCATTTGTTAGTACATCAACCATATAAATTTATTTACTTATCTTTATCATTATCTTTATCAGAGTGTATTCATAAAATTATAACAATAAAGCTCAGTGTTTAAAGTTTCGCCAATAAATATGCAATGAATATTTATTTTGAGTTCAAGTTTAAAATATGTATATATATATTTCTCTTAAAATAAACGTTTATAAGCAAATTTATAAAAAAATTGGCTTCTTAAAAAGATTACTTGATTTCATTCCATAATACTACATTACAAATATTTAATCACATGGACCTATATATAAAGAGTTTAAAAAATGTTGTAATGGAAGACCTAAATACATACGTATAAATATCGTATATATGTATGTAAGGGCTTAGACCAGTCTTGAGCCTTCAAAAATTCCGTTTATTTATTCTGCGAGTAAAGAAAAAGGAGTCGAATTTTTCTCTCCAGTTTAATTGAAAATTATTTTAGTATATGATAAAAATGTTATATTAATATTTTGATACGAAAAGTAGCCGTTATTTCGTAGGTCATTCGGCGAGTTCACATTTTAAGAGGATCACACTTACGCGGTCTTAATCTACATAAGACTTAGTAAAGTAAATTGTTCGCAACATGAGGCACGTGAAAACATAAAATTAACAGAAAAAAAACATACAATAAATAGAATAATATTTTTTGAATCCTACATGGTACTTTAAGTAAATAAAACTTAGATTTTTTCTAAAACTTAGACTGACCCAACCGCTTAATACATAACAATTCAGTAAAGGTCGTAAAGTGATCAAAAACCTGAGTCATGCTAAGTGTTAAGATTTTCAATGATAGACTCGTACCAAATGACCTGAATGCACCGACCCACTCTAGCATGTGTTCAATCACCGTATTCGCCAAATTTGGCTCCCTTCGAATTTTTTTTTCTACGAAACTGAAAAATTCTCTTCGGGGCACGCGTCCATTGATCTAATGTACTCAACAAACTGTTCGCGTCATAAACAAACAGCTATCAAACACAGACCAATTGACATATCGAGATCAAAGTTCACATGACCACACAAAGTGGTCTTTACCAGTCTAGGAAAATAATATTTATCGATTCGGCTTGCGCTCGCAGTTTAAATGGTCAGTCCGTGTCAAATTTGATCTTGAATGTCTAGCAGCAAAACAAACAATATTCTTATCTATAGTGAATTATAATTGCAAATTTTTTCCACTGGTTTTTAATTTTAGTTTAAAATTTAACACTTTATTGCGAAGTCATTTACCATAAAATACTACTCTCCTAGCAAATATGCAAATTTACTTGCATAACAAGAATTAAAATGTAATTGTTGAGTTGTCTCCAGCTGTTAGCCCTCCTACGTATAATAACTGTTTATAATATGCGATTATTAATCTGCGTAATTGTTCATTATTGCATAATTTCACCATTACAGTCAAAACACCAGCTGTGTAAACTAAAGCAAAATACAAATCCCCAAGCAATAACAATTTTAGACTGGGCACCATCATGCCGAACTAAATAGCCACTCTCACTCGTCTTTTTCTAATATCACTATCAATCAACCAATGCTGGAGTATTTTAATACCACTGCACTTTAGCACGAACAAGGCGTGATTGGTCCTTAAAATCATTTAAGCCGTAAATTCGTGTAGCTACTGCCACAGCCTCCCTTAAAGAGCGGTGTTTATTTTTTCATTTGAGCGAAATGGTTCATTGAACATAAGGTTGGCCACCTCTGCGTTGCGATGTTCGCGTGGTTTCTTTGTTGTTTCGAACTTCACAAACGCTTCCTTTGTGCGCCATGCCGTTGATGGAACGTCTAGCTAAAAATACGTGAGTGTGATGGAATTTATGTGTAAGACAATGCATGTGGAATAGCACATAGTACATATAAAATGTTTGTGTATAGTCTGACGCATAAGCTCACGAGCAACCAATAATTCGCAGCACCTACTGACAATGTCCAAACAATCGACAGTACCGAACATCTAATCATTTAAGCCAAGAACTCCTTGCTGCTGCTCATTGACCTTGTGTTATTGTGTTGCGGTTGACATTTGGCAGTTGCTGTTGTTGTAGAGTTGAGGAATGTGCACGATTGTTGACTTTCATCTAGTAGAATGGCAGCTTGTTTATTCTTTTTGAATTTTAGCCGTGCAACGACCCTTTCAAAGGTATCCACGAGCGGTTGACATTGCGTCGGTTAAGTCACCAGTTAATGACTTCCTATCTACTTATTCGTGAACTTTTGCTTTGTGTACGGTCGTCGGCGCTTAGATGCCAATAGACGCAGACAAAGCGTTTGACAGAAACAAAACTTATGTAGTCAACAGACACTGGCTCTTTGTTCGTATGCATGAGTGCGGATCTTACTAAAACTTCAATTGTTTGTGGGTTTGAATTGTACTTTGTTATCCTAGAATGTGTTTCAATGCTGGTGTATTGTTGGCAAAGTGAACAGAAACGTGTTATTTAAAGAAAGTCATGAACTAATTAATTTAGATCTGGTGATTAAAGTGGAAAGTAAAACTATAAATGAATTGTTATTAATGCATTATCAGTTGACTATTGCGATCTGTTATACTGCTGTATTTTTATAGCAGCGATTAGAGGCTTTGAAACTTACTTCGTTTAAAATATTGGTTGTACATCAGCTGTACCGGTATGAAATGATTTTTTTTTTTTTTTTTGTGAAAATTAAATACTTATTTTGAATGGGAAAGTAAAAAACAAGTTATGCAAAGTATTAAAATCCAATTTTCAACTTCTGCCTAGGAATCGAAATGCTATTCACTTTGGATCTTTCCCATAGCTTTCAAACGTTCTGAAATTGTTTTTTGTGCAACATTTAACATTCCATTTCCATTTCCATTTGCTTTTGACTTAAAGTATCATTTTCATTTAATATTGCTTGCAGTTCGGTGTCTTTCAACTTTTTTGGTGGTCTGTCACGTTCTTCACTTCACACATGAAAACTTCAATATTATCTCTGAACCGTTGATATCATCATTTGCATGCTGCTTCTGATAGAGTAAGATCACAACATGCCTCGACAAGCATTCGATGCGACTCTGCAGCATTTTTCTTCAAATGGAAATAAAAAATGTATGCTTTCAGCATTTCTTCACTTTCCGGTACAAAATTGGACATTTGACAATGAAAAAAATTAAGTTGTTTCTTCAATGACTGTAAAGTTATTAAATATGTTTGACAGATGTCAAAAATAAAGACTCGTTCACACCAAATGTTTCCTACCAACACATTTGCAACTTAAATCATACCGGTACACCTGGTAGATTATGAGGTTTTTCCAAAATTTTGGTTAAATAATTGATATTTTGGTTTTGTATGCCCTGAACTGGATGCATTAAGTTTGGCATTAAGTCTTTAACAACTAGAAGGAAAAGTCAGAGACCCTATAAAGTATATATAGAAGTGATTAGTGTGACGAACCGAATCGATTTAGCCATGTTCGTTCGTTCGTTCGTCTGTATATACGCGTACTAGTCCCTCAGTTTCGATCTGAAATTTTGTACACTTCCTTTTTCCCCCAAGAATCTGCTCATTTTTCGGTACCGCGGATATCGGACCAATATAGGATATATCCTTTGATTAAAATCAAGTCCCTGTATGCAAAACTTTTTTATTTGACAAGATATCTAGACGAACTTTCGCATCGATTATCCAAGACAATGCCAAAATCTCCGAACAAATTTTCCAGTTTGGACCACAAAAGCGTATGACTGCCATACAATCTGACCGATCACAATCAAGATAAAGATCTTTTTAGACTCTTTTATGCTATAATAAAAAGTATTACAGCTTCGGTGCAGTCGTAGTTAATGTTTTTCTTATTTTATCCGATTTTGTTGCGATTCATTCTTAGTATATGAGTATGTGTATATAAAAACGTTTCTACTAAAAGGATTATTTTTTCATAATATTTCCTACAGTTAGACGACGGAAATGCACTTCTGGATAGACAAACGCTCACAGCAATGTGGTTTCGGGAGATCGAGAGTTGCAGCCTCACTCTCTGGCGCCGGCGGATCCGGAGTGGGTCTCAGTTTTGGTCATCCACCGCGTCGTATAAGCGGCGGCAGTGGCAATAAAGCGAGCAGTAGAAGCAACGTACTGCCAGACTGTCATCACAACACTGCCGCCAGCAGCAGCAGCAGCAGTCGCAGCCATCAATATCAACAGGCGCAATTGCAACATCACCATCAACTGCAACAGCAACAGCACTATGCCAATAACAATAATAATTTGAACAGCGGCAACAATTGTCAACAACAATCAAATACGCACAGCAGCAATAATAGCAATTATACAGGTAATATAAGCACCGCCAATGCAACAGCCTCAGGCGCCGCAATGCAATCGACCACATCGGCGACGCTTAACAATAATCCCCACCAGTACACCTACCAGCAGACGCATCAGCATGGCAGTGTTCCAGTGCAGACCCATCATGCGTCCGGCAACAACAATTTAATGAACAACAACAACGCCAGCACTTCTACGTCCATGGCTACAGCAGCCGATGCGCGCGGCAACACACCAGCAACGCAAGATTTTAATCAGCGCGCGGGTGCCATGTTGCAAAGCAACGCAAACACACCGAATGCAACGCTATATCAGCAACACGTCAATCAATGCTATGATATGCGTAGCTATCATCATCCTCAGTTCGGCAATATGTCCGTACGACACTATCAATATTCGGGCAGAAATTGTAATGGGCCAACGCACGCTAACTCAAATCCCCCAACACATGCATATCGTAATGGCAATAACAGCGGCGCAAGGACAATAATTGGTGCTGCTCATTCGCAACACTTGGACCAAATAGCATATCGGCAACAACATGGTTACAGGTAATCAGTGCTATTTGCCAGTTAATAAATTTACCACTTCTAAGCGCTCAATTATTTTTTCAGTCACTCTGCTGCAGCGTGCGCTCAATCAAACGAGTCTATAATGGGCGGTTCCGCGCCTATTTCCACTAATACCACAAATACAGCGAGCTACGCGGTAGCTAACACAGCGCATCGCTATAGTTCGGCAGCCATAAATATGCGCACAAGCAACATGACGGTAGACGCGAACGGTGGCGACGCTCAGCTGCTACCTTCACACCTTAAATGTGGCATGTGTGCTTCGCTAGTGCTGGCCTCCGTCTTTGTGGCGGGCGCAAAATTTTATTTCGACCATCAGGGTACTGGCTTGGAAGTGTTGATTTTTTGTGCTTTTTCTGCAACTTTCTTTTTGGCCGCCTGCACCGTATCACTGTGTCGCGTACCAAAAGGGCTATTGCCAAGCGGACGCAATGCCGTATTGGGTGCGCAACCGCATGCTGATGCCGAAAGCGCTATACATTATACGCGTCCACCATACGGTAGACGTGATATTGTGAATGCTGATGGTAGTAGTGAATTAGTTGGTTCGGATGATATACAGGGCGCACCATTATGTGGCCAGTTGCAATTGATTGAGGATTCGGCTAGCGCCGGACCACCACCATATCATATAGCAATATACTTTCCTGAGACAGAGAGCAATGGAAAGGGCAAAGACGCACCGATAGATGACGAATCACCGCCGCCGTCCTATGATAAAATACTTATCTAAATCTATACAATGCATAGTAATAATATATGGGAATGTAGTAGAGAGCTAAATGTGTTTACGGCCAAAAGAGAAAATCAGCATTATTGGCGCATAGTTGAAATCCTCATTCACATTTTCTCATACTAAGAACGTAAATACAATTATTCATATCTTTCAACAACATGTCTTACTTCCGTTTAGTAGATGAAAATCGATTTGACGTATTGGCAATATATATAGCAACGTGGGGCTTGGAAAATTCCAATTTTATTTTTATAATGATTCCCTTAATCAAAGCCTGTATGAAAAAAATCTTCAAACTATTCACGCAATGCGTAATCTTTGTATAATTCTCCATTCCGCTTCTTGGAGAGGCGAAAATCAAATTTAAAGAAAATGGTCTGACAGTCGAAGACATAAGCGATATACTTGTAGTATTATTGTTATTCGTAACAATTATAAATGAGTGCCACACCACTTTTTCATCAACATCATATTTATATACATATAAACAACTCAGATATATGTACATATTTCCATTCCAACTTAGCTGCTTCACGTCATCTCTCTCTAACTACAAACTCTCTACAATCTACATTTTTTATGTATGCTCAATATTTTTATATACACTTTTTTATTCAAACTAAACGTCTACACAATAATCTATATTAATATAAATGAATATATATATATATATATATATATACGAATGCTCACGTAGTGTAAATAATGATAAGTTCACATACATACATATATCAAACAATATTTAAAATAAAAAATTTATTAAAAATTATTCGTAAAGTAATAAGTTTGTGGAAAGAATTATGTACTCTGTACATATTATAAGCTAAAAGCTGAATTTAATTCAATTAACTGATATACAAAAAATTATGAATTGAATAACATTCTACGAAAATATTTTTATCAATTGCAATATGTGTGTAGATATGTATGTACATACGTATTATATGTATATACGAGTATATATACAAAACAATGCTCAAAGTGGGATCTTGGTAGAAATCTATATCTTCATGAAATTGATATTTGCCAAATTTATAAAAATCATTAAATATCGCAAGAAATTAACTAGAATTTCTATTTAGAAATTAATTATGTTTGTAAGCATAGCTTTAAGTAAGTTGTTGGAAAAACGTCATATGAATACTGCGATTGGAAACTTTCTATAATTTATAAAAAAAAGACCTGTCATTTGGTTCTGTGATATGATATTTACGAGTAAAACAAATAATACAGTAAAACCTAACCCAAATAAACAATGTTTTTCCAATAAACATACATAAATACATACATATACCTATGTATAATAATATAAAACAAGCATACTATAATAAGACATACTTACATACTTATGTATGTAGCTGCATAACTAACTGTTATATTCAGTTTTCAACTGTAGGAAGACGAGCGCACAGTAAATAACATTAATATACATATGTATAATTTATAGCATACTATAACATAGTGTACTATAAGAATTGAACTTGAAAAAGTTTGTTTGAGATTAAATTATGTTAAAATGCAATTAAATAGATGCGAGTGTATGTATGTAGTATGGTATTGATCTGATGCATACGTATATACAGGTTAGTAAGTATAATACAATATGTAATTACATAATTTATGATATTTAAGAATGTGTGGGAGCGAAAATGTTTTAGAAATGAGTTATTAATGAATGACTTCTATGAAGGGTCAATAACCAAAAAATTTTAATTATAAATTCAACAATAAAACACCTAAATAACGAAAAAATATTACATTGTACGAGTATAAATTGCTTGGCTAACAAGATGGGTTTGTATTATACTACACAAATATATTAATAATCGATTTATACCTATATTTGCAGTTAAATTGTTTGTGTTTAATATTTTTTCATATTTTATGATTATTATTTTCAATCATTCTTCAAATCTTTGACAAAAATAACAGAGACTGTTCCTAAATTGTAATCGGCAAAAAGCCTTTATTTTAGTGACAATTCATCATAGTTCAAAGTGAGTCCATACATAATAAAAATATTACGTTTCAAAATCAACATATGTAGTATTATGAGCTAACATATAGTAGGTAAAGAGTATATAGTATGTAAATAAATACCTTCAACTTAGCAACTCAAATTGGTAGGCATGCCAGCAGGCTAGGTGTACCGTTGTCTTAAGCCTTGTAGAAGCAAGTATTTTATAAATACATACATATATATATATATATATAGGCATCATTCTGTGAGCTACAAGGATTCAGCTACTGATATTGTTTTATACCAATTTTGCATTTAATCCATCTTAAATATTACAATAAACAGTTGCATAATGTATTCGTACACTTAAGAACAACTGCGCAAACAAAAATCCATTTCAATTGTAGCAATTCGGTGCAATGCCCGGATACTATTATAGGTTATCGACTTTTGCGAATGAAAAGATTAAAACAATTGCAAAAACAATAATATATGTACATATGAACTTACGTACATAAAGCGTGCACTTATACGCTCAAAAGATTTTTCGATGTGTTTTTATTTGCCTTTTTAAATTTATATTTACAAACAACATCCGCTTCCGCGATTCCATATCCTCATTGTAGAATTTATAAATGCATATTACACAGCTGCTAACAATTCCAATGCTTGCTTACAACAATAAAGAGTAAAACATTTGCCAACACTGTAATGCTGGCCAACCAAAAGAGGAGACGTGTACAAACACAAACTACGCAGGGTGGTATTCAATATTATTTAAATAAATAAGATTTATTTGATTTGTGTTGGTAAAATACAGAATATGAATAAAATTATACAAAACAATTAATTTTGTATGCATTTAAAAGTATGTTTGCATGTAAATTTTATATAAATAGTTTAATAAACACAGTATATTAAATTTAACTACATCTTAATTTCATATTATTGGCAACACTAAATGTATACATATCGGGAACACTGCAAGCCGAAGTCTCCAATTTTCTTCCCATCGGCATAATCGTCATCAACATTTGCTTTTAGTGAAAATTTTGTCGTTCATTTCATTTTACATTTAACTGTCGAGACAAGTTGTTTAGTTTCTTAAGAAGTTAGGTTTTATTCGGCGAGAACGTGAAATATCTTCAGTTAACCAAATAGAGCAGAGATATCATAAACAGATAATAAAACATGAAGTTCGTAATTTGTTCGCTGCTACTGGCAGCAGTTATTGCATCGGGTGCCCACGCCGCTGAAGAAGTGAAAATAGAAGATGGAGTACTTGTGCTGACTACAGACAATTTCGATGAAGTCATAAAAAAACATGAATTTGTGTTGGTGGAATTCTGTAAGTACCAATTTCCAATTAGCATATTGAAATTTAATACGATTAAAGTTTAATATTAGCCAAGTGTAAGCAAGTTAAAAATAAAATAAGATTGTTATTTAAGATATAAGCGTTACATTTAGAGATGAAAGCAGAAATATATCCGCCATTTCTCTTACTACATAGTATATATATCAGGAAGTGCAACAAGATTTATGGGAAAGTATAGACTTGCCTACTTTTCCCATTGGCCATTTTATGACGGGAACGGTTTAATAGTTCATAGATTCCTTTTCTTATTGTTTTATTCTTTAATGCGCTATGCACTTAAATTTGTATTTATCGGTCTTCATGTCTACAGTTCTGTGAGTTTGCACTGTTGACGAAGCATATTTCAATCTTTGTCGCGTCTTCTCTTTCACGCTTTCTACCGGCTTACCGCAGATTTTGTATCCGTTGGTATGTTGCTTGCTCTTCAACACCAATGCTATATGTGGTGAGGAAAAGTATATATAATGCCTTTATACGAGAAGTTCTAGTGACGTGTCAATTTAAAAATCGCCTTGTTTATATTTCTATTTTCCATTATAGGAAGATTAGCGGTGTTAAATAATTTTTGTAAAAGGTTTTAGGAAAATTGCTATCGTATTTGGTTTAACTATTATTTTATTTTTAAATCGCCATTTTTCACATGTGCCATTTGGATGTTCAGAAGTACAAATTTTATGAAAATATCACAAAAGCACTCTTTTATATAAGTATATGAGTACATACATAAATCGAATATTGCACAACTATCACCCTCATCCAGCTTTGAAGATATGTACATACATACCATACATACATAAGGTAAAAAAAAATTCATAAACTAAGAGCTGAGATCTGACCACAGTTTTAGTTTCATCAAAGTACCTCTTCGATTATTAACAACAGATTGCAATATAAAACCTAGGTTATATTTGATAAAGAAATTGAAATTGTCACGGTGCGAATGAAATGCATTGTATTCTACCACAAATATTCTCGGAGAAACAGGTTGTCCGCAGAGAAGAACAGCAAACACTTTAAAGATGACGTGTATTCTTGTCAATTGCATTGGATGCTGAACCATATGTTTCCTTCATTTTCATGTTATTAAAACTTCCAGTAATTGATCATTTTATAGCGCTAATCTCATTTCAGTTTGCGCTTATCTCCTATCCGTTTTAGTATTGTACACTTACAGTCGCTTTGCTAGGTGCCATTATCACAATACCATCTTCATTTTTATGCATGTATAATACACAAGGCAATCATAAATTTATTTTCTCTGCACTGTCTTGCTATAGGCATTTATTAAAGACCAACGTGGCAATAGCAATTATCAAAACATGCTTTCTATTAAATAGTTACAGCGAAAAAAATTAGATTAACTAATTTTCTATTTATTTACTGCTTTATGGTTTATGATAAACCGCAAAAGCCGGCTTTTTGTATCATTATTTTTTTCTGATAGTCTCAAAATCGCTAATAAAGCTTGAATGATTTCACCATCTTTACACAGCCTTTAACATTTTACCGCTAAATTGAAAGCTTTTAAATTTGTTTTTGTTTTTCAATTATTTATGCGTACTCAATTTGGCCGGTATATGTCTAAACAACTGCTTGCTGTTGACTTTTTTGTAGCAATATCAAAAGCTCAACGCACGCATAATACCTTCAAGTTCATTGGCCTTTAAAAGCGGTTGCACGTTTAAGCCCAGCTACGGTTTATTTTTTAGCACCAAGCAAAATTTTGTTTACAGAAATACCGTATGTTAGAAAAGAAATCAGTTATTTGCATTTTTAGATACAAAACAAATATATTTAGAAATTCATGTAGTCACGTCAGCTCTAATTTCCTACAGAAATGTAGTAATAATAAATACCTATTCATCTGTGTTCATTTTGTTGACGTAAGAAATTTATGTTTGAATGCTCGCAAAAGTAAACTCATCTACCCACGCTGCAAATAATTAAATAATGCTATAATCAGCATCAACTTGCCTCGTTATGGTGTCCTTAATTCAAGCTCAAGCATAAATTTACGTATGTAGATGTTATACGTACCGCACCTATGTACGTATAAGTATAATGCTTTCTACGTGATGCTTTGAAATAATTATATGGTTGACGATTTAATTTATTCCAATTGTTTTGAGAGAAACTAATTAGAATTTAGAAATTAGTTATTAATAAACCAAATATTAACCCACAAAGAAAAATACAGCAAATAGTTTTTTTTTCAATTCTGATTAACTCAACTTTATCATTTATTAAAATAAAGAAAATAAAAGATTTAACCCCCAATATTTTTATGATCTATATGTATATTTATATAATGGTTGTGTAATTTCTCGTTTAGATGCTCCATGGTGTGGTCATTGCAAAGCACTTGCACCCGAATATGCTAAAGCTGCACAGACCTTGGCCGAAAAGGAGTCGCCCATCAAATTGGGTAAAGTCGATGCTACTGTAGAAGGTAGTTTGGCCGAGAAATTCCAAGTACGTGGTTATCCTACACTGAAGTTCTTCCGCAATGGTGTCCCCGTTGAATACAGCGGTGGCCGTCAATCAGCTGATATCATTTCATGGGTCAACAAGAAGACTGGCCCACCAGCCAAGGAGTTAAAGACTGTCGAAGAAGCTGAAAAATTCTTAAAGGACAATGAGGTTAGTTTGGTGATAAAGAACGCACAAATATATATATATAAATATATATATTTTTTTTCAAATAAATTTATAATGCAACATTTTTGAATTAACTTCTCATTTATTTTAATTAGATCGCAGTTGTCGGCTTCTTCAAGAGCCAGGAATCCGATGAAGCCAAGGCTTTCATTTCTGTTGCTAATGCTCTTGACACTTTCGTTTTTGCTCTTATTGCTGATGATGAACTTATTTCCCATTATGAGGCTAAGGATGGTGCAGTTGTACTCTTCAAGCCATTCGATGAAAAGAAAGCCATATACGAGGGCGAGCATACTGTTGAGAATATTAAAAAATTCGTACAAGTACAATCTTTGCCCTTGATTGTCGAATTCAACCACGAATCAGCCTCGAAGATTTTTGGCGGATCAATCAAATCGCATCTCCTCTTCTTCGTATCAAAGGAAGCTGGACATATTGAAAAGTACGTTGACCCATTGAAGGATATTGCCAAGGATTATCGCGAAGACATTTTGTTCGTCACTATTTCTTCAGATGAAGAAGAGCACCAACGTATTTTTGAATTCTTCGGTATGTCCAAGGAGGAAGTACCAACTATTCGTTTGATCCGCTTGGAAGAGGATATGGCCAAATACAAACCCGAAAGCAATGACCTGTCTGCTAGTACCATCAAAGATTTCTTGCAGAAATTCATGGACGGTAAATTGAAGCAACATTTACTCGCACAGGAAGTGCCTGAGGATTGGGATAAGAACCCTGTTAAAGTGCTGGTCGCCAGCAACTTCGATGATGTTGCTTTGGATAAGAGCAAAGATGTGCTTGTTGAATTCTATGCCCCATGGTGTGGCCACTGCAAACAATTGGTTCCTATTTACGACCAACTTGGTGAGAAATTCAAGGACAATGAAAATATCGTTGTTGCTAAAATCGATGCTACTGCCAATGAGTTGGAGCACACTAAAATCTCTTCATTCCCCACTATCAAATTGTACCGTAAGGGTGATAACAAAGTTATCGACTACAATTTGGACAGGACTTTGGATGAATTCGTGAAGTTCCTGGAAGCTGGTGGTGATGTTTCACAGGTAATTATTGTAGAAAAGTGTTTTTATTTTTTATTTTATAAAAACTAATATTGAAAATTGTATAAAATTTTAGAGCGGTGAATCAGAAGAAGAGGTGGAGGAGAAACCCGATGATCATCAAAAGGATGAGTTGTAAATATTTAACTTAAATCAACTTAAAAATAAACTGAACAGCAGCAATCAGCAGCAACAAGAACATTTACATTTCCACCTTTAATCGAACGAATCATGTTATAGATATTTTACAAAAAAAAAAAATGCAACGGAACATTCTTACTTTGGTGCAAGTGCATTTCCTTATCTGCTGTACCATTGTAGTTTTTCATAGGTTTACAAAATTGCGTTCAAATGTGTTCTTACCAATAAAAATCTACCAGAAAAACGAAAAGAGGAAGGACAACGTCAGCAGATCTTTATTTTTTTTATAATTACAATAAATAATTTTTTGTATTACGTTTTAAGTAACTTAAAAAACAAACGAAAATGAAAAATCAAAATTACTACATTTGCTATTATTTTTGTAATTGTGGTAATTTTTTAAATGAAGTTGGTATTTTTTTACTCAAAAATAATAAGTGTTTCTGCAAATACCTTAGTATATCAGATGATATAATAAATGAGAAAAGGTGAGATTTATTTGTTAGAAAACATGGACGTGAGGGCTGTCATTTCACACAATTATTAAGTATGTTTTTATTCTCTACGCATAAAAATTGAGGCAAGAAACTGGCGCTTCCGGGCTTACCTTCCACTTGGACGCATTAATATTGAATAATTTTTTGTGTATAATATACATACATATATATTGTAATTTAAAAATCAAATCTATTTTATTTAAAATGACTTCTCATATTTAAGTGTATGAAACAAACTTTTAAATTAAATAAAAAGATAGTAGAAAAGAAAAAAGAAAGTTTGGATCTAAAATACTATTTTATTTCAAACATTATTTACTTGTGCTAAAAGTAGTTGTGTTAGTTAGTGAGAAACTTCACAACTTTCATGTATTCCTACTGATAAAAGGTTAGTTGCAATTAATATTTTATTTTTATGTTTTTGGTATTATACAGTTTCGTATGTTTGAGAAATTTAAAAAAATCGAAAATTAATATCTAATAATTTTGGGTTTCCACAAGTTTTTCCAGCATTCGGAAGAAACAATAACGGCTATCAAACTCCATATCGTACCAAAAATTCACTGCTATGCATTTATGACTTTGTTGCACATGGTGAAACCAAAAATTGGGTAAAAACAAGATATCACCGGCGTTCACACGCACATGCAATGGTTGGCTATTTGCAAATTTTGGATATTTGGAAAAATCTGGTGCTAAGGGATCAATACTTATCCACTCTGTTCGTAACGGCTGACTTTCATTATTGTCCATTTGTACAGGCTCAATATAAAACTGGCCTGATTCATTTCGTTGGTACTTTCCTACGGGATAAAGTTGTCGCGGAATATTTACTACTTGGTGCGGTGGTAGTAAAATAAAGTCTTTGTATCCTGATATGACGCAGTATAAATTATCAAATGGATCTTTATGCATTGATGTAACTGCACGTTTATCACCCATCCAAAAATTTACCAATGGGGGACTATTTAAACATTGCTCCGCAAAGTCCAAGTCTTTAATATTAATATCATCAGCCAATTCTGGAAAATCAGTTATAAAATTTGAATTTTGTTTCTGAATATAATGTATAGGACCAGTAGGATTATCTAGTTTTTGCAAGAAATCGCTCATGCACATCTTTTCTTCAAGCGGTAGTACAAAATACTCAGTTTCACGTTGTTTGGCCAAACCGTCCGCGTAACCATTTGGCGTTGTTGTCACATCTAACAATTTTTTACCAAGTACTTGCTCAAGGTAAGCAGAGTTCCACTTTTTAACCGCTGGCCAATGTTTCACTGCATTCCTTATAACCACTGGCTGGTTTTTAGCGTAGAAATCACGCGCAAATACAAGTGGTTCTGGTATTTTATCCAGTATTACAACTTCCGTTCCTATACATAGCTCATTTGCTTCCCTCAAGAGTTCATTTAATGCTGCTGTAATATTTTCCATGGCTTGTTGTAAAAGGAGCACGTGACACTGTGTTTATTACCATACGTTCGACATAAACCAGGAGAGATAACCATGAAGTCTGGAACATGTTTAGGAATTTAGAATGTTCTTATTTGCCCAGGAATCAATGTAGTATTCAAACACCTTTTTATTTGAGATTATGTAGTGATATCTTAGTTTTTATCATGTTTTCAACATTGTATAAATCTGCAAGTAACCAATCCTAAGTTTTTCACTAACCCATACGCAAAAAATTGACATTTGACAATTTACATAGTTTTGTCCAATATATTATTAATTGTATCAAAATATTATTATATTAGTAGGTTTATACAATGGTTTTTAGCGATCAAAACAAAAAATTTATTGCCTTTTCTTTTCAATATTGGCCGCACATTGCGAATTTTTCCATATTTAATAATTCAATCAAAACCATTGTAAACTGGCAATATTGGAAATGTCACCATGCCCGAATTCACCACTAATAAGCTTTATTGTCAGCTGTTTGCGCACCTCAGATAAAGCCGAGACTTTTAGATTTGTATATATGTACATAGATAATTTTTAACAAATTTCAATTCAAGAAACACGCAAGTTCAAGAAAATACAAAGGATATAAAAGAAAATTGAAATAAGTGACAATAGCGATAAATTTGCAAATATTATTTATTTTTTGCTTTATACTAATTAATGCTATTGTTGCACATGAATATATATCAAAGTTCCTCATCAGTTTTGTGTACTTAACTTAATATACATAAATATGAGTATTACTCCTAATGCTAACTCTCTTGCAATACTTGATTATGATAATGACGACGAAGAAGTTATTAACTGGGAGGAGGAAGCAGCTGCAATTATAAAAGACGTTAATCCACATGTTGCGTTAATAGAAATATCCCGAGAAATACCTAGCAATGTGAGTAAAGTGTACCTGAATGTGCGCACTATCGAGGGGCGAGACTACTGCGTTCAAGTATCGAGTATTGGTTTTCGCGTGGTAGCTAATGAATTTAATTCAATTGACGACGGTAAGGAAGAAACAAATGAAGAAGAGGAAGTGGTTTATGAGACACCATATGCACTATTAGACAAAATCAGTCCAAGTTATGTGGAATCATTTGGTAATCAGCTTTGCAAACAACTATTATCGGTACAACAAATGCGTACACAGTTCAATGAAGAAGATGAGGAGGGTGTAGAGGACGAAGATACTACCGACAACACAAAGACTTCATAGGTGGTGTAGAATATTATTTTTACACATAATACATTGAACAAAAGCCAAAAGTGATCATTCAACAAAAAGCCCGAAAGCTAAATAATGCAAATTAGTAGTTAAGTCTTTTTAATTTAATATTTAATTTATGAATTTCGTGAGGGTATGTTTTACTATAATAATAACGTCCGCATTGCTTTTAAGTAGTAATTATAAGCGCTTCTTTCAAACACTAATGTTAATTAAATGATGTTCCATATACACATAATTATCTTTTGCTTAAAATTTTAAACGTTTCAAGAATAAAGATTGTGACTGTAATTCAAGATCTGTTAACTTTCCGACAACTGGCCCCAATTGTTGAACGTGGTCTTTATATCCAGTACCGGTGTTTATATTTTTTTGACCATACACAACTTTGCCATCGAAATCATTCACTGGTACTGCCAGAGATTTATCAACTTGCTGAATCGTGACATTCAGATGGTCCTCAATATCAGCTAACAACTGTTGAATTAAAAAAAAAAAGTGCAATTTTATTTCGATATGGCATTAGCTCGCCCTTATGCTAAATATGCTTACATTCATTTCATTGTACCAAATACAGCAACCTCGCACATCGGTCAAATTTGTATTTTGACAATTGCGTCCCCTTGTCGAGCACCATTCTCCGTGGTACCAAACCTATAATAAATGATAATAAACTTGAAATAAAAAAATACAAAATATACTGTTATGTATTACCTTCTCAGGCACCGATGATACTAAACTAATGGCCAAACCCATACGTTCCGCACGTCCCACTCGGCCAATACGGTGTACATAATTTGACTTTTCATCGGGCAGTGTAACGTTGATCACTAAAAAATATTTTATAATAAATTTTAAAAATACATATACGTAGAGGCAAATAATATAAAGAAATAATCGTACTGAATGGCAAGCCAGTTATGTCCAAGCCTCTTGCCGCTACGTCGGTGCAAATAAGAAATTTTACTTGCTCTCGTTTAAACATTTCCAAATTTTGTTTGCGTTCCGGTGGTCTTCGATCTCCATGTAGACAAACACATGAATAACGTTGGCCACCTCGCGATTTAAAGTAATTTTCCAAATTGTCACAGTCTAGTTTAGTGCGGCAAAAAATTATGGCTCTATCCATTTTATGCTGCTCAATGGCAGCTATACAATATTCGCCCTTAAGGATTTTAATTGCCTCTGACCATGTTTCTGGTGTGTGATTCTGTGGATTTACATTATCGCGACTGTGTACACCATCAGTGCGTATATGTTGTCGTAGATTATACCAAGATGTATCCTTTTGTGGATCAACCATACAGACAACGTGATGTACCGTTTCTGGCACAGCGTCTTCACCTTTGAGATCTACCCAAGTAGGAAAGTGCATTAAACGATCGGCCATTTTTTTCACCTCAAATGCATGTAGCGTAGCTGAGCAGACAACCATTTGTAATCGCCGACCATCGGACGTTATTTTCGGAATTTGCTTATGTAAACGATCAATTAAATCAGTATAACCTTGTTTGAGTAGTGCATCAGCTTCGTCCAATACAAAAAATCTACCATTAAATATAAGGTATTATTTTTAAAAGATTATTTTAAAGAATTCATTATCGCAAGGGCACCAACCTGCAATGTGTTAACTGTACAAAACCACTGCTAATCATCTCTTCGAGACGGCCAGGTGTACCCACTACAATATGCACACCCTGCTGTAAAGCACTTTTCTGCTGCTCCGGTTTAACCCCACCGATTAGTAGAAGTGAGCGCACATTTGGATTGCTTAAATGCACTCCAAATTTTTCTATTTGATTATAGGTTTGTTCTGCTAATTCACGACTTGGCTCAATGATAATTGCTTGTGGTGCGTTAGGCGCTGGTTTGTTAGCTGCGGCATTGGTTGTCGGACTAGCAAGCGGGTTAGACTTAAATTGTCCTGCAACTGCATGAGATACAGCAATAAATCCTTGTTTTGGAGGATACTTAAATTCAGTTTTTCCAAAATTAAAAAGCATTTCCGCATTTTTTAATACAACAGCTGGATAGAAGTTTTCATTACGTTGATTTTCTGGTATTCGAAATGCTAATCCAAGATGTTTGCCATTTTTAGCAAAGGATACTTCCATTTGTTGTAAGTCTATATAGCAACCGATCACATCGTTTTTTCCAAAGGCTTCACCGTAGTCATCAAATTGACGATTATTGGATTTTTTTCCAGTACCGCCAAATCCATAACCATTACGGCAGGTACCAAGATCCAAATTAGCTTGTTGCGTAGACCAACCTACACGACATAGACCTTCGTCTGTCACGATGGCTTCAAAATAAAATTTACCCTTGCCACACACACCAGTTGTTGCACGACATCCGTGCCATTCTTTAAACTCACGCGATTGACAACGCAAACCATCTGGTGTCACTGCAAGCGCTGTTCCACGATCAAAGAACGACATCGTCCATGGTGCAATACTACCACCCGCTCCCAAAGACTTGCTAACTTTTCCCTCTTCAAGGTCCCGCAATGTTTCCCAGACAATTTGCAAAATAGGCAAACAAAACGCTCCGGTTTTTCCGGATCCGGTTTCAGCAGCCATCAAAACATCACCACCTCCCAGAATGAGAGGTATTGCTTCGGCTTGTACATCTGTGGGTAGTGTCCACTCCATTTCATCAATCGCCTTAGCAATTTCTGGTAAAACACCAAATTCTGTGCAATTAAAGAACTCATCATTTTTTATCATATGAAATAATTTTCGCAATATCCTTACCTTCAAAAGCAGTCATATTTTTGAAACAAATTCAATCAATTTTTTTATCTTAACCGGCTGTATAAATCACTATATGTATATACATATGTTCACTGTGATACAGATGGTGATTTATCTATAAGGTATGTTCAATAATTGACAATAAATGCACATAAAAATCGCATACGCCTTTGCAAAATTTACTTTTCTTTTAAAAATACTAAATTATTCTTGATTGTTGGATGGTTTTTATAAATTGGAAAATCCTAAAAAGACCATCGTTGTTATAATATTGTTTCGTAATATTGCCAAATATTTCCGCTGAACTTGAGTGATTTCTCTGTGGATAATATAATTTTTAAACTCAATGCATTTAAGGTATAACTGTAGATGCCGCTAATGCGCAGCTGAATAGCTGAAAAGACGATTGTCAAAAAATTATCGATCAAAGTGTGGCAGTGGAATAATTCCAATTTCGGCCAGAAGTTAATCAGTCGCCAAATTTTTAGTGAATAATATTAAAAAAGAAAATGTTCCAAAACAGTGCCGCTCGTCTTTTGGTTCCAGCTATCCGAAATGGATTGCAAAGCCGTTGCCAATCTGTCATTGCTGGACCACCAATAAACAAGGTGTCTACAGCCGTAAGTATATTCCTACTATATAAGCAGGTTACGTAAACTGACTTGGACGAGAAATATAAGTTATATATTCGCATGTCTTATTTATGTATTTCAGGAAAAAATCATCTTGGGTGGAGGAATGTGCGTGTCGTTGCTCGTTGTACCGGCGTGGGTGTTGCTCCATTTGAAGGAATATAAAGGTGGCAAGTAAATTCAGCACCACATTGGAAGAATTGCTTTCAGTACATAATAAAATTTAAAGTTTTTGTGAAGTTGTAAAGTAAAAGCATTAAAATATACAATCGCTTATAATTTAAATAATCCGTTTTTGTCATTGAAACGAAATGTGTGTAATATGTGTAATTTGTGCCTAAGAGAGGAATATAATTGAAGTCAATATATCAATATAGTATCACAAATGGTTATGATACAGATGCTCAGCTCAATATTAAAATGAACCGAAATCCTATAAAACAAAATACAATTTAGTTGCTGAGCTCTGCCCAACATCAATGAAATGTGTCCTTACTGGACTTATGTTTTACAAATCATAGTCAAGGAACATATAAGATACTTTCAGTAATGATCAAACTAAATTTCAAACAAACCCTCATTAAAACACATTCATATTAGATACTAGGGTTACATTTTTTAAATACATAAGCTCGTATGGTTTAGGCATTATATTTGCATAATGCAAGTTTATTATAAAATAATTCATATTACGTTTCAATATAGTTTTATTATTAAAGCGGGATTATTGGAATCGGCGCAAATAAGATTTACTGAGATTGGTCTCCATCATCACTTTTCTTGTCTTTTTCTTTTTCTTTACTGAGTGATCCGACTGCATCGCGTACAGCTTCTGATTGTGGGTCGACGCCTGGTAAGTTTTCCAATACACTCTAAAAAGATTGTTTATATGAGAATTAACCTCATAAAATTATTGCAATATATAAATATATCACCTGTAGAAATGCTGGATCACCAATTACTTCGGAGTAATCCTCATCGACGTCCATTGGTTGATTTTCTTCGGTTTTAGGACGTTTAGCCTGTTGAGTTACGGTCTCATCAGCTAAAGCAAATTAATGAAGAGAAAGAATAAAACTTTCATAATATAATTTTTTTTTTATATATTTCTCAACAAAACGAACCTGCATCCTGCATTGACATTTGCATAGCGAAAGCTATTTGCTCTTCTTCGGTCATGTTAGCAAAATCAGGCAAGTTATCTTCTGGCTATTTTCATGAAAAAGTTATACTCAATAACAAATATATAATGTAATTATGTTGAAATTACCGTTTCTGTGGATAATGCCAAAGCACGTTGCAACATTGCTTCCTCAGAATTTGGTTCTTCAAGTGCAGTAGCAACATTTGTGCTAGTTTTTTCGGAACCTGTTGTGGCACTGCCAGCATTCACTTCTGTATTTCCTGCAGTATTTGATTCTGAAAGAGCCCGCCGTTGTTCCTCTTCTTGGCGTTGACGTTGTTCTTCCATGGATACACGTAAAGCGAGAGCCAATTCCGGATCTTCATTGGGGTCAACACCAAACTCAAAACCAGCACCACTCAAACCTGCCCCTCCCATGCCATCTTCACCTTGTATTATTGGTGAGGATAACAATGCATCGGATAATCCCGAGCCCCGAGGTACGCTAACTAAATGGGAACCTGTACCATCTTTTCCATTTAGTGCGTTTACGAACGTAGTTAAAATTTCATTGTTGTTTCCATGGTCTCCAAAACTGACAATGTCGACGTTTACTTTTTCTTTTTTTAAACGTTTAGCTTGTTTTACTAATTCACCTTCCTCATTATTTATAGGTGAACCCACAAATACCACAATACGCATCTTGTGATTTTTACCCTGTCGATGCTTAAGAACCAACTGTAAAGTGATATGATATATTTTAAGGATTCCAATTGCATCCAATAACTTACATGTGCAATACGGATCCCAGTGAGTAAATTGATTTCTCCCTTTGGTTGTATTAAATGCATCTTTGAAAAAATACGCCCAACATCACTAGTAAGTGTTGCAAGAACCTCAACGGTGCTATAAACAAAATGAATTATATTAAAAATTTCGAATATTTTATTAATTTTGTTTGTGTACTTGGATATAGTCATCAGTCCAACATTGTTCTCTGGATTAGAACGAACTTTTGTGAGGCAAACTAGATTAATACCATCCTTCTGGACATTCAAACGCGTCGGGAAGTAATCACCATTTCTCTGGTAATCACTATTGTCGAAACTTAAAAGTAAAAAAGAAAACAACAAAAACGCTTCGTAATACACAGGTACATAAAGCCGCAATCAAAAATGTGCATTGGTAGAGCTTAAAGTCAAACTTTAACAAATAAATTAAACACCAAAGTAATTAGGCAGTTCTTTTTTGTTTGAACTTACTAAAAATTATTCGAATTTATTATTTAATTATTTAAAATTGCTCACCATATCATAGTACTTTCCAAAACCATTTTCAATAATTTTGCTTGTCACTACTCCACTGAACTGTAATTGAAACTCATCCAGCTGACATTTATTATATTGCGTATGTTCAATTAGTGCATTTTCAGTTGAAATTGCAAGTACCCCTTAAGACCCATTCACATACAACTTTCCTCGCTTTGCATGGCAGTTCGTACTAAATCCAGTTTTAGTGTTTCTCTCTAATAAAAATGGCAACTGTAGCTTGGCAAAGCATATAACGATGAGAGTTGTTTAACATTTTGTTTGCCTTTGAGTCGAAAACTTTTTATGTGAACATACTCATACAAAAGCTTACATCGAATTTTTCTATATAAACAAATGTTCACGCAAAGTGAAGAAAAAGTTCCATGCGAATTGGCCATTAACGCAGAGAACTTATAACAATTCTTGTATGTTCTCTGCATATAGCATGATGAGCTGAGTCGATTTAGCCATGTCCGTCTGTCTGCATATACGCGATTCAGTCCCTAGGTTTTTGAGGTATCGATCTGAAATCACATCCAGTCCCGGTGCCTGCCTTACTTATATAGAGCCAGCAAACATTACCGTGAAGTCACCTCATGACTTTTAAATCACATCGTATGGACTTACGAGAGTCACCTAGGCACTGGCTAGGCATGGTGTCTGCTTTACTTATATAGAGCCAGTTGGCAGCCAACTTCTTGTGAAGTCACCTCATGACTTATAAATCACATCACATCGAGCCACGAAAATCACAGAAGACTTAGCCAGGCACGGTGTCAGCTGGGAGCTAGCTTTCCGTGGGGTTACCTATTGACTTTTAAATTATGTCACATCAAAGCGTGTGAGTCAGAGAGTACAGAGAATATATAAAGTTATTATACGATCTCTGACAAAATCATTGTCAACCTCAATGGCAATGTATCTGACAAATGGTTAAATATGTCTATTGCCTGTGGAGATGCGGAGTAAAAAAGCTGACAATTGAGCAAGATGAGCAGAATAAATTAAACATCAAACACAAATATAAATTGACATATTCTAATATTCCTTACATATTTTCATAATATCAACGATTAGTGGTAAATATAAAAACTGTCTCAAAAATTGTCAAAATTATTAATCACTCAAAATAGATTCGTTTTTCGGAAATCATTTTGATTGCAACCGTGCAAATTTCATTAAGCAACTTGCTGAATTGAACAGCTGTGAGTAGAAGTCCCATGTCTGGTCATGTGACATTTGTTAAGCTGGAAAAGTCATTTGCCAATTTTAGATATTTTCCACATCGTAGTGCACCATTTATTTGGAATTGCATTTTCGGAAGTTATTTAGCGTAAACTATTATCAAATTAACAGTATTACGGTTTAAAATATTGTAAAATGGTTTCTCCATGGCTAGCACCTATCATAATCACCTGTATTTGGGGCTTTATTGGAATAATTTGTCCATTTTTGGCTCGCGGACCTGACAAAGGGTGAGTTAATTTTACAGTACAACTATGCCACAAATCAAAATATTTAAATTCCTATTCTTTTATAGTATCACTCAATGTTGTTTAATGTTGGTAGCTTCCACCTGTTGGCTATTGTAAGTACCTATATAAAAATAAAAAATTTTCTACCCTCCTATATATTATATATTTATATATATATATATATATTCTAGCTGGCTGTGCTGTTATATGACGCAAATGAACCCACTTATCGGTCCTAAACTAACCAAGAACGAGATTATGATCGTGGCTCGAGAATGGGGAAATCCTATCCAGGATTCAATTGATATTACATATTAGTGCTTTTGTTATTCGTCGTCATTCTTGAGGTCCGCAATTTTTTTTATAAGGCCTCCCGTTAATTTGTTCTTTAACCTTTTACTGTTTGTTTACAAAAATATTTAAAGTGCCTATTGTATTATGACTGCTGCTATTTAAGCACGAGCACATATTTGTGTTCCCGTTTTGACGGCCAAGTAAATTATCATTAAAGCAAACGATAACATTGCGATGTTCAATTATTTATCAATATCAAATATTGTAATACAAAGTGTCCTTATATAAAAATATACATATATACAATAATTTTTGCCGAAATACAAATTTTAAAGTTTTATTAGATTTGAATATGACAAAGCCCTACTTCCACGCAGCAGGTAAATATGTACACATTAACGTAGTCAAGCGTGATCTAAAAGAACAATACATATAGAAAATGTGTAGTAATGTCAAATCCAAATTCGGGTATTTTCATCGCGAAACTTTGGAACTAATTGATTTCCTTAGTTGATATTTAGCTCGCTATATTCAGAAATTACTTTGAATACTGCTGCTTAAAACTGCATCAAAATTCCTTGTTAAATATTGCAATCAAAAAAATTCATAACCTAAATTAAATAGTCATACTTTTCTTTTTTAAATTACAACTTTATTTGGGTGTACATATTTAGAATACAATTGGATAACTACGTTTTTAGTGCGTAACTTGCCATTGGGTGTGTCAGACCACGACAATAATTTACTAACACTAAGTTCGTGCGTTAAAAAATTACAGTATACTCTAGGATCGTTTGTCCTATTATTACCAACATTTCCAAAATCTTCTATAAAATCCAAATAATCGTACACCTGTGGTAAGTGTAATATCAACTTTAGTGTTAAGCTGTTTAGTCGAAGAGACCGAAACCCATATCGTCGTCTTCTTCTGACTCCGACTCCTCCTTTTTGGCTTCTTCCTTCTTTTCGGCAGCAGCGCCAGCGCCAGCAGCTGGAGCAGAGGCAGCAGCAGCAGCAACAAACTTGCTGGGGTCCTTGATGAACTCCTTGATGGTAGCAGCTTCCTTGAACTCTACTTCGGTGGCAGCAGCAATAGCCAACAGATTCTTGAAACCATTGGCAATACTGTGTGGTGCCGAAGCAATAGTTGGGTAACCAATCTGTAACGATACAGCGGCCAAATTTGCAACACCAGCTTGGAATTTCGCACGCAGATCTTCGGGCTTGATGTCCAAGATCTCAGGTGAGAAAATGGAACCAGAGTCGTATACTTGGGTTATGGCCAAACCATATGAGAAGGGCGAAATGTTCAACATATTAAGCAAAGTAGCTTCTGAAGCACCAACTTTATCTCCTGGCTTCAAAATGGGCACATCATTTATAATTTCAATTGTACCCTTGGAAATCTTGGTTGGAATCGAAAGAGCCTGGAAGAAAGAAGTTTTCTCGGGACCCAAACCAGTGTTTTGTGCTGGAATGACGACTGGCAAAGGAGCAATAGCACCAGCACGAGCAGGTGCACGCACTTTCGATTCAAGCAATTTGTCACGAACTTCAGCCAAATCGCCCTTGGTAAATACGAAACCAACATTGCCCTTAATGTGTGGCAGCAATTTCTCCAATTGAGCGTTGTTCTCCAAATGACCACGAATAGCTTTGCGCATCATAGTATTCTTACCCATGAGCACAACACCCAATCCACGCAAGCTAGTACGGATGTTTTGCATTTGCTTTGAGCCAACATTATCAGCGCCGACGATGAAGCACTTAGGATATTCGTCGAAGAGTTCCTGCAAATTGGAATACACAATTTAGTTGGAGAAACCACATACAAAGTGTTTTTTTTTATGCCATGACTCAGACGCAATTTTGTCAAACGTAACGTGTATCAGGACGTCTGGGTTCAGCTTTTTCAAGCAAGACATCCGGACGATACACATTCAGACGTAAAATTTTATCATCATTGGATTAACTTCAAAATTATGTTTACTCATAGAATACTTACGACAACTTTAAGGAAGTATTGAGCTTTCCAGGCGGCCTTGTTCTCCCTAACCATCTTGAATCAAGTTGTGTAATTAGGGACTCGTGAAAAGAATTTAAGAACTGCAAGCATAATGAATACATTTTATATGGTAGTTGAAAACTCGAAATATATATTCGCAAAGTAAGTTATTAGATATATAATAAGATGCTTCCTATTTTCACAGATTTAAAAACCTACCAAAGCACGAAACGTATGCAAACGACGGTGACTTGGACCAAAATGGCCGAGTGAAAATAAATGTTTTAGTAGTTGGCATCGCATTGGAGGATTTTAGCAGAGTTGCATTGGAAATACTACTGGCGACATCTGTAGGACTAGGGAAGATTTTAACTAAACCGAACTCTATTTATATAAAACAAAAATCATTCTAGAGAACTTATATCATATACGTTCTCTGCTGCAATAAGCCATTTTGCTTCTTTTATTCCTTGTGCAACTAAAATTAATACACTTAATTTTTTTAAATATTTGTTTTTTTTTAATATTTGTGAACCCATCACATAAGTACCGTCAATTATTTGTAAGTCTGGCATCATTGTCTACATGTCTGTGGTAGACGTCAGTGCAAAGCAAAAGATTTGCTCAGCGTTTGTGGAAAAGACGCAAATTGTGTGAATATTTTCAAAACTTTTCAATAAGATTGGATATTGGCTTAAAGAGGTGATTTTTTTTAGCAAAACTAATATAATTGGTTACAAATCCGTACATTTACATATCAACGAAAATTGTGAAATCGACGTAATTATCGCTTGTGCATCAGACGTTTATTTATGTAGAATGTGCGCTTTATGGTGTTTGCTTTCTGGATATGACCATGAAGGTCCAAATTTAAGACTATTTGTACTTTGAATTCGCCAGTTACAAAATTTTTCATGCAAAGGAGGACTTCGTTGCGTTAAGAAAGTGTACTATGATATAGTGAGAAAATTAGTTTTTAAGTGAAATAGAATGGACCTTGAAAATCAATTTTGCATTTAAGTTCTAATATTATTATTTATATGCTATTGTTTTATGTTATAATTCGTATTTATTATTTGTTTTGTTTATAGCTAGGATAAGATTTTCACGGCCAAATGTGTATTCTCTGTGGTATTGCATTGCCATATAATATGTTTATAAATGATTTGGCAGGACTGAAAGAATGACAGCTGTTGTAATTACCGAGGGAAACGTTTTTGACAAATGTGTTACAATTTACCACTGTAGAATTTTTTTTAAAATAATATTTATGATATGTTATGACTTTCATTTTTCTGTTTCTACTTGTTACAGGAACAGATTCTCAATGATTTCCTTATAATTTGTTAGAAATATTAACATTACAAATAATGCACAACTAAGAAATGCTGACCGTTAGAATAATATTTATACGATTTTGTTTTTGTTTTACAGGTAGATTGCGTGTTTCTTGAAAGAAAAGGCAAAACCTTTTGTAACCTGTCTATTTCATAGACGTCGAAGGACAAAGAAAGCGATAAAGGACGCTTGGCGGAATATACAGCATCAGTTATAAAGAAAACACAAAGAAATATAAAAGCAAAAACTTTGTAAGAGAACCAGAATACTAATTGAGAGTTCATTTGCCTTTGTCGTGTTCGTGTAGCAATTTCTTAATTCAGTTACACTCATTCAAATTCTGTGAAAGTGAAACCACGTTGACGCACTGGTGAAGGTGTGCTCACGATACCACCTCCTTAGTATTTCATGTAATTTAAAAATTAAAGTGTAAAATAAATATGAATGCATCTGCTGCATTTGTGCCATCAGTTGGATTCGGTGGTACTATAGCTGCCGGTTTAACTTCTATGATGTCTAATTTAAACGTGGACGAAGGTGCAACAGCAATGTCAAGAGCACAACCAATTATGATGGCGAATCCACCTATTTGTCGCTATTTTCAACGTGGTGTGTGCCATTATGGCAGCTCGTGCCGTTTTTCTCACGTTCTTACTGGCGGCGAAGCAATTAATAACAGTAGTAATGAAACTGAATCTCTAAATCCCACAACCTCTATAACAAACAACCAGAAAATAACAACAGAAACTCTAAATGCTCGACCTAGTACTAGTCGACAAAATTGGATAAATGCTCCAGTTTTTGTGCCGAAAAGTTATCGACAAACGTACTCTGCTGAAGAAGTTGCTGATAACTCTATTAATGAAGGTGCAACGAGCATGTGTCCAACGAACAATGACATACAAAAATCTTGGGCTGAAGTGGTTGGTGGTAATAATGTGGCACAGCGTACAAACCTTATTGAAGTTACCGATGCCGAAGGCATGCTTGAAATGGAATGCCCATTTGAGGGTCCCTGTCCGTATGGTGCGTATTGTGCTTATGGCATACACATGGAACTTTGTAAAATGTGCGACCAGTTTTGTCTACATCCAAGTGATCAACCGCAACGCCGCAAACATAATCAAGAATGTTTACAGCAGCATGAACAAGCCATGGAGTGGTCATTTGCTATTGCCCGCTCCAAGGATAAAACTTGTGGTATTTGCTTCGACACAATAATGGAAAAAGCTGGAAGAGAGAAACGTTTTGGAATTTTGCCGAATTGTAACCACATTTTCTGCTTGGAATGCATACGGAAATGGCGGCAGGCAAAACAGTTTGAACATAAGATCACACGGTAAATTGAAACTATCTTATTATATTATATTCATAATTAGTAGCTTAAAACGTATAAAAAATATTAAAGAAACAAATAAAATAAAAACTAAAAAAAAAATAAAAAAAAATTATGTAGAAATTAAAAAAAAGTACAAAATATATAAAAATACAAAAAATATTAAATTTTTTTTATTAAATAATTATTAAAAAAAATATTTAAAATATTGGAAAAGAAAAAAAAAATAAATTATAATATAACTATTTTAAAAATTTCCTAAAATTATTGAAAAATATAATAAAAAAAAAAGGAAAAAAAAAAAAAAGGTATAAAAATAAATTATAAAATGATTATTAAAAAAAGCATTTAAAAAAATTACTAAAAAAATTATTTAACAAAATTTTTAATAAATATAATTAAAAAAATTAGTAAAAAATATAATTAAAAAAATTAGTAAAAAATATAATTAAAAAAATTAGTAAAAAATAAAATAAAAAAAATTAGTAAAAAATATAATTAAAAAAATTATTACAGCTCATGTCCAGAGTGTCGCGTATCTTCAGATTTTGTCTGTCCCAGTGCCTTTTGGGTGGAAACTAAGGAAGAAAAGGATAAGCTGCTCAACGACTATCGATTAGCGCTTGGTGTGAAAGACTGCAAATACTTTAAAAAGGTAATATTTCAATAAAATATTGTTTAATTCTTTTCTAAAGAAATATATATATTTCAGGGTGATGGTAAGTGTCCATTTGGCAATAAATGTTTTTATAAACATGCTCTACCCAATGGGAATTTAGTCGATGTGGGTTGCCCAAAGCGTGCACGTAAATTACATCGTGGCTCAAACGATTTCATCGATTTGCTAGATGTATGTACAAAAATATAGTAAGTTGTATAATTACATGTGCACAAAATTAAATTGTATCTATATTTTAGATTTATTTGTGGGAGTTTGTCGAACAACGCGATTACCATTGGCTTGATTTTCTGTCCGGCACCAGCGATGATAGTGAAAGCGACTTTTCGGAGGTGTAAAAGTGTGCAGATTTTCAATAACTCAAAGTTATACAATTATTACATGCTGGCATATTTATACCAATATGTTACCAATATTAAGTTGCGCAAAGAAAAAAGAGAACCTATATACAAGTTAGAAATTCTAAAAAAGGAATAAAATCATAATAGTCTATTAGCTGCTATGGATCCGTCGTATGTAAAAAACGGATTACCAAAATTATATGATTAAATTGCACATATGAAAAAGTCGGCATTAAACAGATATCCAACAAAAAAAAGAAAGAAAAAAACACAGATTAAAACTTGAAAGTTATAAACATACAAAAATTGTATAATCGGGCGAAATGACTCGTATCTAGCTTGTACAAGTATATAGAAACAAAAGCGAATACATTTATAGGAACACAATGCAACGAACTTTTTTCGAGTAGTAAAAATAAACAAAAAAAAAAGTGCATAATATACAAAATAAGAAGTTTCCGAAAAAAAATCATCTTATAAAAAGTGGGCATTGCTGAAAGAATAAACAACAAAAAAGAAAAAAAAAAAATGAAATACATTAAAAATATGCAATTACGGAATATATAAATTTAGATTTATGTGCGAATATGTATACATTACTTTGGTCATTTATCATATGGTAAAAATAACAAATTAAATGTGTTAAATATTTAATATATATCTATATATCAAAATTAACAACACAATCTAAGCCGCATATAACACACTGGTAGGAACTCTTTTTACGAAAAGCCATATCACACAAAAATGGCGTACAAATTTCAAATGAAAAACCACAAATCCTTATATATATATATATTTGAATTTGATTGTGATTTATACTCGTAATTGCCACGCTGACCGCCATGATGTCGGCTTCAATTGTAATAAACAACAACAATAATAATTAATTTATCATAACGCCATGAACGCGTTTGGGCGTGCGCCTGCCTTAAATGTCCCCCCACCATCGCGCGCAACGAACGTGCAACGGCTAATATATGACTAATGTTACTTTTATTTGCAAATTAATTATTAGTGATAATACATCAATTTTTTTTTTTATATAATAAAGTTGTAAAGTTGGAAAACGCCAAAGGCTTGTTTGCGGCTGGTTATAAAATATATATGCGTTGTAGTATTTTAAAAATTCCAACTAAAAGTGATGCAAATGTTTATGCTGGTTAATATATTTTGTCATGCATTGATTTAAAACAACTTAACACGCCGTTAAATATGTAGCTACTTGTCCTATAAACCACACGTTCACCTTTATGAACTTTGTTCTTTCGTATTTATGTTGAAGTATTTGAAAATTAGAATTCAGTATATGCTTAAGTTGTTATTTGCTTAAATATTACGGTGCAGTGTAAAAGTGTAGGACTTAATTCAATTGTTTTTCTTTTTTTTTTGAATTTAAAATTCATGCCTTTATGCCAAAAAGAACGTTCAAATTTCAAATTTTTATTTTTTAATTATCAATATTTTTAGTTGATTATTATAAAGATTAAAAGTTAAATTGTTCTTAATCTATTTACCATATTTTTTTCATTTCACCTGTTGTCTGTTAAATGTATTAAAATATATATATATATAAATTTGATTGCAAGGAATAAAATCAAACCCGTTAACTTCGCGTTTGTTACATATAAGCGTTAGCATTAACATTATTTTTATAAACAAATAAAAAAAAAAAAAAAAAAAAATAACACAAAAACTAAAAGCCCTCATATGTTAGATATAGCGTTAACAAATTAATTACTATGAGTTAAAAAAAAAAAATGCGCATAAAATTGTATTAAAGGGACATCTATCTGTGTATGTACGTATGTATGTATGTAAGTGCGCGCGCTTGCTCTAACACTTTACTAAAAAATAAAGAAGCAGAACCAAGTAAAAAATAATAATTTTGTATTTAATGTAACTAATTCCTCAATCATAAATATATGCATACTTAATACCTACAATACACAAACAAAACACATACATATGCATACATATATATATTATATACTAAAAAGCTAACATGGATTTATTAATTACAAAATTGAAAAAATATATATTTAAAAATTTATTATATTAAATTGAAAATACCTCCAAAAATTTATGCAAGCAAACCGTTAAAGTGGAAGCTAAAACAAAATCTAATTAAACATAAAAAATAACTGTAATTACGCTAAAATCTGCTCCTCGTACACAAAGTACTCATATAACGAAAGTAAACTATCAAAGTAAAACAAATACAAAAAAGTCTAAAATAAAACCAGAACACTTAATAAAAAATATACTTTGTAGGCGATTAGCAACCAACTGCAACTACATATAAATATCTTGAATTATTTGTTATAGGAAAAATCGTGGTAAGTGTGATTTGTTATATAAACTGCGCAAATTGGAGCCGGACTGCCTAAAAATAAAAATATACACATACAGGTTGGTTGAAAAATTTCTCCTATTCCAATGATCTTCCAAAAATTTTATGCCATCGCTATAAAGACTTTCCGGCAGCTCTGTAAAATACTCGTCTACCGCTGTAATAGCTACTTCGTTCTACGAAAAAATGAAAAATTATTTTTGTTTGTGCTGCAAACCAGGTCTTTTCTCACGAGTATTTTCATCCAGCTGATCCAAAAGGCTGCAATAATATTCAGAGTTGATTGTTTTACATTTCTGCAGTTTATCAATCAACAATATTTCTTTTGCATCCCAAAGAAACTGATGCCATAACCTTCTTTGCTGATAGTTGTGATTGCACCTGCTTTGGAGCTGAATAACCAGTTTCAGTCCACTGTAAACGTTCTTGTTTCAATTTAGCATCATGGTGGTAGATCCAAGTCTCCTCCATAGTTATAAGACAACGCAATAAATCGGTTTAATTCTGCTTACAGCGCTCCAAATTATGCTGAGAAATTTGTTTTCAGTGTGATACAGTTTTTGTTGAATTCTTAACGTGTGCGGCACTAACTTTCCAAACAGCTTTTTCATGCGTATTGTAATTCTCTATGTAAAATATGAAATACTCGTTCGTTTGAGATGCCTATGGCATTGCCAATTTCACGCTTAGTCTAACTTGGATCTTTACTAACAATATTATGAACTTGCTCAATGATTTCTGGTGTGGTTGCGATATTTGGTCGTCCTTCGCGTGGATCGTCTTCATGCCTAGCGCGACCACGTTTGAACTCGCCAGCCCAAAATTCAACGGTGCGTTTTGGAGGTGAGGACTCCTTAACCACTTGATATTCAATTTTTTCCATATTACTTGTAAAAAAATACTCTGCCACGTCAACTTCAATTGGCTTGTAAACAAAGAATAAATTGACAAACTGATTCATAACTTTGCATGTGTTTACACGAAAGATGTACCAACTTGAGAAAAAAAATTTTTGTAGATAGTAGTGCTATTTCTTGGTGAGACTAACCAACCCTCCAACCAACCTGTACATGTGTACGTATTTTATACAAATCTTTATTATGACAACAAAATAGGCTCCGGAGCACCCCTCGTGCCCTCTTACTTGTTGCTAATTTTTTTTTGCTGTCGAACTTACCTTGTTTATGGGTTCTGACAATTGAACATAACCCATGCGTTTTAAACCCTATAAAGTGTATACTGGGTGACCAATTTTGAGGTTCCCTACTTTTTTTTAAAGAAGAAACACAGATTTTTATTTAAATTTAATGGAGAATGTTTATTATCATTCAAAAGAACATTCTTTGGCATTTATTTTTTGAAGATTATCTTTTTCAAATGTTGGCCGCGGCTACGTCTCAGATGGTCCATCCATTGAGTCCAATTGGATGACCCGTTCGATCATTTCGACTGGTTACTGGCGAATGACAAGCGTGATGTTTTGCTCCAAGGTCTGAATCGAAGCGAGATTGTTTGCAGAAACTTAAGACTTTACATATCCACACAGGAAAAAGTCTAACGGTGTAATATCACACGATCTTGGTAGCCAATCGACCGTCCCCAAACGTGCAATTATCTGCTTACCGAAGTGTTCTCTCAATAAATCCATTGATTGATGTGATATGGGGGAAGTGGTGCCGCCTTGTTGTAACCAAATGTCGCCAAGATCACGATTTTCAATTTCAGGCATCAAATAGTCGGTTATTATGACGCGGTAACGGTCGACATTAACGGTTACGTTATCACCGGCATCATTTTTGAAGAAATGTGGACAGATGATTTTACCAGTCCACAAACCACACCAAACCGTTGTTTTACTGGATAAAATAGCAGCTCTTCAATCTCTTCAGGTCGCTCTTCGTTCCAAATGCAGCAATTTTGCTTGTTTCCATACCCCCTGAGCCAGAAATGGGTCTCATCGCTGAACAAAATTTGGCTTCAAAACGTCGGATCTTCTTGGAACTTTTCAAGAGCTCACAGAGCGAAGCGATGTCGCTTAGGAATGTCGAGCAGCTTCAGTTTTTGCACATGTTATATTTTGTACGCTTTCAATTTAAGTTCTTACCGTAAAATGCGCCAATTCATTTCATACGTCAGTCCGCGTTGCTGCGAACGGTACGGAATCGTGGTCTATTCGGTCGAATATTATCTAATAATGAATGCCGGAGCTGGGTCAGTTATTTTGACCATAACTTGAGCGAACGTGAATTTTCGTAATAAAGTTGCACGATTTGTAAAGATTTTTTAGACGTAAGACTTTCCATGATAAAATGCCAAACAATACTAAACAAAAATAACATGTCAACTTGACACTACTCTTGCGTGATCTGTCAAAAACAGGTTATTGAAAAAAGTACCTTTGTTTGGAACACCCGCTATATGGTATTCATGGTTTAGCGCTGAACATGAATGTAGTTGGTCTATGGTAGACCTTGGTGTTAATCTCATATCATCAATTCCGATCTTCTGGTTGATATTTTGTTCATCAACTCAATTTATTATATTTAGTCGCTTTAAGTTTATGTCAGATATATCTCATTTGGGCATGATTTCAATATAATTTTCGTCGAATGATGAATGTTGAATTCTTTCGCAACATTTTTTAATGTGAAGTTTTGACAACAACTACAGGTACTTCCCCTATTTTAATTCTTACAAGTTTTAAGAGTATGAAATGTTCGGTTACACCCGAAGTAAGCCCCTCCTTACTTGCTGCTTTTCCTTTTTTTGCTGTCAAACTTACCTTGTTTATGTGTTCTGACAACTGAGCATGACTCATGCTTTTTAAATCCTATAAAGTATATATACATACATAAATGGTAAGCGTACTATGCTGTCATTTACGTCTGTATGTCTAACGATATTGGGACACTATAGTTTATAGCTGCCATAAAAACTGACCGATCACAAACAATACAAAATCTTTTTTTACCTGTACGCGGTGTGTCAAGCGAAGTGAATATTTTTTCTTGTTTTTTATAAAAATAAAAATTCCCTGTTAACCGCTATAAATAAAAACACATATATTTTTTTGTTAAAAGTTTTATTTGTAACTTTATTTTATTACTTTTTTTGCGTTTTATTCCTCTTGTTTTTGTTGTTTTTGGGTTTTTTGTTTTCATTTAGGTTTTTGTTAAATGTCTATAAAGTATATATAATATATATTCTGTGTTTTTGTTGATTTTTTGTTAGGCTTTTTGTATTTTTTTTTGTGTTTTTTTTTTAATTATTATTATTTATTTAATTATTATTATTTTTTTTTTAATTTTTGTGGTTTATTACGCCTATCATATATTTCCTCGACTAGCAATCAGCATAATCAGCATAAAGAGTATTATTATTATTTTTGTGTTTTGTTTGGTAATAGTACTTAATATATCCTTGTAATATATTTGTTTTATATTTAATTATGTAATAATTCATAATAATTTATTATAATAATAATTGATAATAATAATAATCATAATAATAATTAATATATTAGTTTAGTAATTAATATATTAGTTTGTTGCTGTTATTGTTGAATTATAATAATAATATAATGTGTGTGTAATAAGTTGGTTTTTTTAATTACTTCTTTGTTATGTATGTATGTATGTATGTAGTTGTTTTTCTGCAAGCATAACATATGCAAGTTATTTGTTTAATTTTTAGTTATTTTAGCAGCAATTGTTGCGTGTTAAAAATGGGTTTAATAGAAAATTAGTCATATTGGATTTGTGTGTGGTTTGGGCGATCGCTGCTTGGCGCGGCCTGTGTATACAAATGTATATATGTTTATATGGGTATGCGTGTATGTATTAGCATATGCTGTTGCTGTTCAGCGTAAGTATGTGTATGCATATATAAGCATGTGTGTATGTATGTGTTGTATAGGTTTGCTAAAAAAAAACAAGTTTTCGTTGGCGTGTGTGTGTGCTTGTCACGTTTATTTTTATTTTATTTCCGTTTGCATTGCATTCTTGTGTCGTATTCATCTACCTCTAGCAATGCTTAGTAATAATTGCCTTACGCTTGCCAACGTTATATAACATTTGCGCTTTCTTAAGTTGTTTGTTTGTATTTATGTATGTGTTAGCTCTTAGATATTTAATTTCTTGCTTTACTATTAAATATCATATGTATGAAATGTATTCATATATTGTATACTGGATATTTAAATGCTTGTAAATATGCCTACAACTTATCAGACATTTCGCTACGCCCACTCTGCGCTTTTCATTTATTGTTTCGCTTTGGTTTCTGCTTGCGTTTCCAGCGTTTGTTCATAAATAATTTATATCTTTAATATTTAATAGTTTTTTTTTTTAAATTT